GTCGTGTTGTTTACTCCCTCTTTTCATTCATACGGCGTATCCGCAGCCTCAGCATCTCGTGACATTGAGACTCTGGTCATTTGAATGCGTCTCACACCGAGGGGCAGATATTACAGCTGGAAACAAAGACTTGAGCCACGGACGGTTCGGCTTTGATCGATATGTGACTGTTTAAGAAAATACAGGGTTGTGGTTTTTGTCTTGAGGAGACGTATTAGGCAACATCAGCTCTTGATACAAATCTTTACAGCCATAGACTCTGCACAGATATGCAATGCTAACTATGGATAGGGAAGTGCTCATGGATGAAGTTTTGCTCGCAGTGATCCTGGTGTTTGTATTTTGATATTCATCCATCCATCTTCTTCCCCTTAATCATTTCTGGGTCGTGGGGGGTGGCAGTCAGAGCTGCACCAAGTACACTTAGCACCAGCCCCTCACTGATCCTCCTGCAGGTGGTGAGTCCACAGGAGCTGAGATCTTTCAGTGGGGGCTTCAGGCAAAGTGGGGTTTAAGTGTCTTGCCCAAGGACACAACAACAGCAGTCATCAGTGGGAGTCGTAAAGTAGGTCTCATGTTGGGCTTGAACCCACAACCTTCAGGCCTATAGGCCAATGCTCTACCGACTGAACCACTGTCGCCCCTGTATTTTGATATTGTCTTTGTAAATCCAGATATAAGCCATATAAGGATTCATTCGTGGGGGAAACCATTGCTTGCGTTAGCAACCATATTAGCAACACGTCTGCCCCTGTAAAAAAAAGCGAATGCCGCCAGAACATATTCCCGGGCACAAACATGTAGCCCCATCCCTTCTGTCTAAAAGCTTCCGTCTCAATCCTGAAATAGTATGATGCCGTTGTACTGCTATGGCAAGAAATCTCAGACATATTCCGTGATCTTCAGCATATGTGACTTTGCATGTAATGAGTCTGTATATTTGTTTAACATTACAAAAGTGAATGGACTTTAGTGCAATCATTTATTTTTCCCGATTTCGCCTGATATGTTAGACATATAAAGACCAAGTTGTCTCATCCCCAGTGTGAGTGAGGATTCAGAACACTCGACAGTCAATGAAATTTATGGACATTTATCAACATTTATGGACTTTGGTCATCTGCCCCTTATGGACCAATGGCTCTAAGTGATTGTTTTTAATCATTTCTTTCCTTGCTTTTGAACGGTTTGATTCGCTGATCTGTTTTGGTGAATTCAACGGTTTGGTGAAGTCCTACGAGTTGCGATTTAGGGCAATACAAAAATAAATGGAATTTAATTGAATCCCCTGTGTAAATAGTCCCATCTCGAGAGTGAGTAGTCCCGTCCCCAGAGTGAGAAGTCCCAGTCCCAGTGTGAGTGGATCCGTGTTCACATTCTCTGGTGGTTGTTTGGACGTGTCTCAGGCAGAGCCCAGCCCCAGTCGGTCCATCGGGAGTGGCTCTCAGCAGGCATCGCGTCAGCACATCTCGCGCTGTGATCGATGACTCCACTTGTGCTTGTCTTCCTGTAACCGCTTTACACTCAGGCCTCAGTAAAGGCTCCCAATCATCTTTGAAACAGAGCGCTGGAAAAGTGATAAAACGCTGAGTTTTTGGACATAATCGCAACGACAATTGAAGGAGTTCATTGGCAAACACAGATATCTCCCTTTGGAATTTTGTCAAAAAGTTGTATTTTTCCAGTATTAACATGACATGTTATTGGCTATTGTAAAATTAGAAGGAATTAGCTCAAGAAGGGGTGACATTTTATTTTGTTGCACTAAAATAGACCTGGTTTCTCAAATGCAAATGGAGGATACTAAATTGACTTAATTCATACACTTGCCTAATTTGATATCACTTTCTGTGAATGTTGCAAACTTGAATTTCGCTTCTCAAATATTCAATTATCAGTGTCTGTCTCCTATATGATATATTTAACTGTAATCTTGTCCTAACAACCAACGATTTATAAAAAAAAATATAACAAATTGATTGCCTACCACTGTATGAGAGAATTGGCTCCATGTTCATGTTTGTGTTACTGTTTGTGTTACTGGCTATAAATTAGAAAGAATTTGCTCAAGAAGGGGTGAAAATGTAATTTGTATGGCACTAAAATTGACCTGGCTTCTCAAAATACGGCGTGGTTAAGGGCAAATTGTAAGTAAGCAAATATGTTTTCAAATCTGTTTTTGCTATGGAACTATCTCATTGTATGTGCATTTTTTGTTGAAGTTTGTTTAATGTGCACTCAAACATTTTTTTGGAGGAGACTGAATTCTGCCGAACAAACAAAAAGCTTGCATTTCTGTAGAGGTCTAACTACAGGTTTAGAGAGATTGGCATTGATAACCCGGGATACTTTGTTTGTTGTTGTGGAAACTTTGACTTCAGGATGATTTTGGGAGTTTTTAAATTAAAATTACAATACAACACAATGTATTCTTGTATAGCCCTAAATCACGACAGCTCATCTCAAAGGAACAAAACCATTGAAATCACCAACACAGATCAGAGAATCAACAGTTAAGACAAAAAAATTAAATCCACAAAACTAGTTTCTATACTTCTGTTAATATTTCTATCACGAGTTTTCACGTTTCCCTTGTTGGCCACTGCATCTTTGCTACTTGGGCCTGGGTCTGGGCCTGGGTCTGGGCCTGGGTCTGATCTTGGTCTGACTCTGTTCTTTTTTCTAGGTCTTGTTTTGCCACATGTCTATTATTGGTCAAGGTCTAGTTGGAATTGGTTTTGGGTCTGGGTCTGGGATTGGCGCAGGTCCGGTCCGGGTCCAGGTTGGATCTTGAAATGGGTTTTAGTTTGAGTCTGGTCTTGGGCCTGGCTTTGGTCTGGGACTAGTTTTGGTTTGGATAGTTTCTGTATTCATCTGGGTCTGTTCTTGGGTATGGTCTTGGTTCGGGCCTAGCCTTTGGTCTGGTCTTTGTCTATTTCTGTTTGTTTTTCTAGGTGTGGTTCTGGCGCAAATCCATTGTCAGTTGGGATTGGTCCAAGTCCGGTCTTGGTCCAGGTTTGGTCTTGGAATAGATTTTGGTTCGAGTACGGTCTTGGGCCTTGCTTGGATCTGGGTCTGGTCTTGGGATTGATTTTGGTTCGGGCCTAGTCTTGGTCTAGGTATGGTCTTTTTTTTGGGTGTGGTTTTGGCGTAAATCTAGTGTTGGACGGGGTCTAGTTGGGAACGTCTTTTTCTCTGGGTCTGGTCTTTGTCTAGTTCTGGTTCAGACCTTGTTCAGGGTCTGGTTTTGGTCCAGGTTTAGTCTCGGAATGGGTTTTGATCTGGGTCTAGCCTTGGGCCTGGCTTTGCTCTGGGTCTGGTTTTGGCACTACTTCTTCCATCCCAAATAGTACAATATATATACACACATAGTACTTTCTGTAAATTACATGGGATGTGAAGAATGAATATGTTTTAATCAGTTTGCTTATCAGTCCTATTCATTTAAAGGGTTTTTACACACAGGTAAAATTAGAATATGGTTAAAAATTGCATTAACTTCTGCGATTCAACTTACACTGTTATTTCGCACTAAAATTCTTAATAGACACATTTTAGTTCTTTTACTATTTTTTTCTTAATGTAAAATGTATGTATGATCTTTGAAAACATGTGACCTGAGATCTAATGAACATAATGGCCAAAGAAAATAAACTTCTTCTACTACTACTACACGTAAAACAAATATATGAAGTAGAGTAGATGATTTCAAGCCTGATGGTTGCTCCGTCAGCGATGAAATTGGTCTTTCAGCTGGGGCTTCAGGCAAAGTGGGATAAAGTGTCTTGCTCAGGGACACAACAACAGCAGACTTCAGTGGGAGACATGAGTTGTGGCGGGATCAAACCCATGCCCAACGTTCTACCAACTGAGCCACTGTCACCTTTTTTTGTCATCACATTGAGAATTGGCTCAAAGCTTGTAAAAAAACCCTTGAATAAGTAAAAATAGACAAACCATGAATGATACCAGACACAGGCCTGACATACATGGTGTCTATATCATATGTTATCTTCATATTGAGTTTCAGACTTATGAACGATTTCTCTTTTTCAATTCCTCATTTCATTTTCAAGCCCTTTATTGTCCATTTCTGGGTCAGGGGGGTGGCAATGAGAGCTGCCACCCAATGCTCATAGCACCAGTCCCTCGCTGATCCTCTGCAGGGGGTGAGTCCACAGGAAGATGGCTGCTCTGTCAGTGGTAAAACAGCCTTGGTCTTTCAGCGGGGGCTTCAGGCAACGTGGGGTTAAGTGTCAACGACTGTAGACATCAGTGGGAGCAATTGGAGTAGGTCCCATGGTGGGAATCAAACTCACGACCTCCAGGCTCAAAGGCCACTGCTCTACCAACTGAGCAACTGTCGCCCCAAGAACAACAAAAGCAAAAGTAAATACATTTTATCCCTCTACCTCCACCCTCCCCCCACCCTCTGAGTTGTCCTGCTGCAGCAAAGCAGTAGCAATATTGGCCTCATTACATGCATATACCTGTCCTTTTTGAGTTCTGGAGGAGAAAGAAAAAACAAACAAAAAACAAGAAAATCCCCAAAAAAGGATATTCTAATTTTTCGAATTTTCTGAAGTGTTGATATATGATTTGTCCAGAAATGTTAATAAATGTCCTGGATCATTACTGTCCTTAGGTCCTCCTTCATCGGCACGGAATGACTCAAAAAAAAAAAAAAACGGGAAGAAGTGGGAAACCTTGGGGAGGCCCATATTGAGAGAGGGATCCGCTCCCACAGATGCACAGGTTATAGAACCAGGACTGAGGCTGACCGTAACCTGGCCGGGGGAGACCAGTCCAGAGGTGCAGATGACAGAGGCCGGGTCCAGAGGTCCCAGGTTTTACATAAAGTTTTAAAGATATAAGATGAAATACAAACTGTCTCTAGAAGAAAGAGTTTTCATTAAACCATTTGAACTTGAATAAACCACAGTCTAAGTCCTGTCTGTGTTGTTTTCTGGATACTAACTGTGTGTTTCTTCTCTCCGCAGACATTTATAGTCCTAAACAAAGGGAAAACAATCTTCCGCTTCAGTGCCACGCCCTCCTTGTACATCATAAGTCCTTTTAATCTTCTAAGACTCATAGCTATTAAGATTTTGATACACTCATATCCTTTCACAAGTTTGTGTGTGTTTACCTGAGTATAGGCTGTTGTGACATCACAACAGTCCAAAGAGCTTGTAGTTTCATATTGTGATTTCTCTCTGGTCTCTGGTCTATCTCTTGTCTCTTTCTGGTCTCTCTCTGGTGTCTGGCCTCTCTCTGGTCTCCGTCTCTGTTCTCTCTCTGGTCTCTGGCCTCTCTCTGGTCTCTGGCCTCTCTCTGGTCTCTGGTCTCTCTTTGGTCTCTCTCTCCTATCTCTCTCTGGTCTCTCTGGTATCTCTCTCTAGTCTATGGTCTCTCTGGTCTCTGGTCTTTATGCAGGATGTTGGTCAGTAGAAAGGACTTTCATGATTTATAATAATGTTGCAGGTTTGTAAAACATTTGGACACTTTCTTGAATGAGTCACATAAGTTAAGGCTGACCACATCGTACAGACGTATTGTTGTGTGTGTCTTGTATTTAAACAGTGTTGTGTGTATTTTGTATTGTTGTGTGAAGTATGTTATACTTGAACAGATTTTTCCCTTAACACTCTCTCCACATTATTCAGCATGATCATCATGTGCACCATTTTGACCAACTGTATTTTCATGACATTTAGTGACCCTCCTGAGTGGTCCAAGCAAGTAGAGTAAGTACTGCCTCATTCTATCTTCTATTCTAAATTTCACAGTTTAACTCCAAAAGAAGTCATTCTGACTGTTCCATTCATTGGAAACAACATTCTATGGCAAGTAAAGCCCTGTTCTCCAAGGTGCCGGTCCTGGACTGGTCGTGAGTTATGAGTCCCACCAGAGCAGAACCAGTGCTTGTTACCGTAGCAACACACTGTTTACTTGCAACGTTTGGTCGTCTTTAAACGTTTTTTTTTCTTCACTTTTTCAAGTTATAGTCACCAGTTAGCACTTCATAAGAGTGTAAAGATAAAACCTTTTACCTTACTCACTTTTACATTGCCTTGCGAAAGTATTCGGGCCCCTTGAACCTTTCGCCACATTTCAGGCTTCAAACATATAAAGATGTAAAGATATAAAGATATAAAATAAAAATTTTTTTGTCATGAATCAACAACAAGTGGGACACAATTTTGAAGTGGAACGAAATGTATTGGATAATTTAAACTTGTTTAACAAATAAAAAACTGAAAAGTGGGGCATGCAATATTATTCAGTGCAGCAAACTCACTCCAGAAGTTCAGTGAGGATCTTTGAATGATCCAATGTTGTCCTAAATGACTGATGATGATAAATAGAATGCAACTGTGTGTAATCAAGTCTCCGTATAAATGCACCTGCTCTTTGATAGTCTCAGGGTTCTGTTTAAAGCGCAGAGAGAACCATGAAGACAAAGGAACACACCAGGCAGGTCCGAGATACTGTTGTGGAGAAGTTTAAAGCCGGATTTGGATACTAAAAGATTTCCCAAGCTTTAAACATCTCAAGGAGCACTGTGCAAGCAATTATATTGAAATGGAAGGAGTATCAGACCACTGCAAATCTACCAAGACCCGGCCGTCCCTCCAAACTTTCATCTCAAACAAGGAGAAGACTGATCAGAGATGCAGCCAAGAGGCCCATGATCACTCTGGATGAACTGCAGATAACTACAGCTGAGGGGGGAGAGTCTGTCCATAGGACAACAATCAGTCGTGCACTGCACAAATCTGGCCTTTATGGAAGAGTGGCAAGAAGAAAGCCATTTCTCAAAGATATCCATAAAAAGTCTCGTTTAAAGTTTGCCACACAAAACTTTAAACGAGACACACCAAACATGTGGAAGAAGGTGCTCTGGTCAGATGAAACCAAAATCGAACTTTATGGCCACAATGCAAAACGATATGTTTGGCGTAAAAGCAACACAGCTCATCACCCTGAACACACCATCCCCACTGTCAAACATGGTGGTGGCAGCATCATGCTTTGGGCCTGCTTTTCTTCAGCAGGGACAGGGAAGATGGCTAAAATAGATGGGAAGATGGATGGAGCCAAATACAGGACCATTCTGGAAGAAAACCTGTTGGAGTCTGCAAAAGACCTGAGACTGGGACGGAGCTTTATCTTCCAACAGGACAATGATCCAAAACATAAAGCCAAATCTACAATGGAATGGTTCACAAATAGACGTATCCAGGTGTTAGAATGGCCAAGTCAAAGTCCAGACCTGAATCCAATCGAGAATCTGTGGAAAGAGCTGAAGACTGCTGTTCACAAACGCTCTCCATCCAACCTCACTGAGCTCGAGCGGTTTTGCAAGGAAGAATGGGCAAGAATTCCAGTCTCTCGATGTGCAAAACTGATAGAGACATACTCCAAGCGACTTGCAGCTGTAATTGCAGCAAAAGGTGGCGCTACAAAGTATTAGCGCAAGGGGGCCGAATAATATTGCACGCCCCACTTTTCAGTTTTTTATTTGTTACAAAGTTCAAATTATCCGATAAATTTCGTTCCACTTCACGATTGTGTCCCACTTGTTGCTGATTCTTGACATTTATTTTTATTTTTATATCTTAATGTTTAAAGCTTGAAATGTAGCAACATTTTGAAAGGTTCAAGGGGGCTTTACTTTCGCAAGGCACTGTAACTAAACATATGAAACGTTGTTTGGAAACGTCTCAGAATTCCATTGATTTGAATGAAAGCAGTCAAAATGACTGCTCTGGGAGTCCTAGTGTTAAAACAGCCATGTATAATTAGTCTAATTATAATTTTTAAAGGGAAAAAATAATGCATGCTATTAGCGTGTCTGGTTTGATGCTAACCTCTCTCTCGTCTGTAAAGGTACACCTTCACGGGGATCTACACTTTTGAGTCGCTCACTAAAATTGTGGCTCGAGGTTTTGCGATAGACGGCTTCACTTTCCTCAGAGATCCCTGGAACTGGCTGGATTTCATGGTCATCTCTATGGCGTAAGTATCCCACCGAAGTCTCACGCCTCAGCCCAGTTTACTCAACACACATAACCCTCATCTTTCACATAGCTGAACAACTAATCATAATGTTTTCAAATTGCTTTTATTATTATTATATTTTTATATAAGATATAAAATTAGGAGATATTTCTAAAAATACCAATGTGTTCAGGAAGACAATGGGTGTAACAGTTTTGTGTCTGTTATATTTCTGTAGATTTTGACAGAAAAATAAATCTAAAATACTGAGAGGGAAAGAAAAGTTCCTCTCGTTAATAATGATTTTAAAAGATTCATTGTGATGAAGAGAGAGAAGCGTCTGCTGTCAGAGCTCTCGATTTACTGGTCAATCTACGTTCCCTCCCTTACCTCTGGTCCTGAGCTTTGGGTAATGACCGAAAGGACGTGATTGTGCAGACAAACGGTCCTTGTGAGCTTCCTCCGCAGAGTGTTTGGGCGCTCCCTGAGAATAGGTGAGGAGCTCAGTCACACAGGAGAAGCTCGGAGAAGAGCCGCTGCTTCTTCACGTGGAGGGTAGCCAGTTGAGGTGGCTCGGGCATCTGTTTGGGATGCCTCCCGGACGCCTCCCTCGGGAGGTGTATTGGAGACTTAGGAGACGACCCAGAACACGCTGGAGGGACTGTGTCTCTCAGCTGAACTCTGAACGCCCCAGATGGGCTGGTGGAAGTGAGTGTGGAGAGGGAAATGTGGACGTCTGTGCTCAGGCTGCTGCCCTCGCGATCCGGCAAAGCATTCAATGGAACAAAACGAATGAAAAAGTTGTTACTCAAATGTTTTCTCTCTGCAGATACGTCACAGAGTTTGTGGACCTGGGGAACGTATCAGCGCTGAGGACATTCAGGGTGCTGCGAGCGCTCAAAACCGTCGCTGTCATTCCAGGTGAGACACGGCATGTTCTCCTTACGTCCGAACAGGTTTCCTCCAGGTGCTCCGGTTTCCTCTACCACTAAAAACATGTACAAAAAACAACAAGTTCAGGGTGAATGAGTGTGTGTTTGCAGACATGTGGTGGAATCCTGGTCAGAACAGGGCCGTTTTATCTCGCTCTCTTTCGCAGATGTAGACGTGACAAAAAACAGACAAACACATCAACATTACACACACAACATAAAACAAAAACACTAAAGTACGACCCCAAACAGAACAAACATAACACAAAGACAAGACGACAATAAAAACAAAATAAAAAATAAAATTATAGAAAGAAGAAAAAATGAGGAAAAAATAATAATAATAATAGTAATAGAAATAAAAACATGACTTTGTGTTTGTGTGCAGGCCTGAAGACCATTGTGGGCGCCCTGATCCAGTCGGTGAAGAAGCTGTCGGACGTGATGATCCTGACCGTGTTCTGTCTCAGTGTGTTCGCTCTGATCGGACTGCAGCTCTTCATGGGGAACCTCCGACAGAAGTGCGTCTTCTGGCCCATCAACATGACCGAGCAATACCTGGCCAACGGCAGCCGCGGCTTCGACTGGGACGAGTACATCATGAACGACAGTGAGTGGGATCTTTGTGACCAGTGCATGAACCTCGTGGAGGTTTGGGTCCTCCACTCTCTGGGTCCTGTGGAGGTCTGGCTCTTGGACCTGATGAAAGTTTGGAGCCTCCTCTCTCCCCGGGACCCGATATCGTCTCCTGTGTCTGCAGACAGCTCTCTGGTGAAGATAGCTCCTCAGATGGTGCTTCCTCTGCTTGCTTTACCGGGCTAAACCAGCCGTTTTTCTTCAGTGGTTTTACCGATGTTATGTGACTGTGTGTGTGTGTGTGTGTTTGTGTGTGTATGCAACATGTGATTGACTTTGATTGCAACTCAAACATTGAAATCACTAACCTTTTCTATCATTTTCTCCCACTTTCTTCTGCAGCTAACTTCTACTTCCTGCACAATCAGCTGGACGCTCTTCTCTGTGGGAACAGCTCAGATTCAGGGTACGATATCAATCTCAGTTGTAACATTTGACTTTACTTGATTATTTTTCACATTTTAGCCACTGTGGTAAGAGAGAAGGTTAACACATCTCGTGCCTTTGATTTTCATTTTTGAAGAAACAATATTTAGAGGTCTGGAGTATGGAGTTGTCCAATTTTCTGAAGAAAGATAATTTAAAATAGCGGTCTTGTAACTCTAAGTTGTATATAATGTTAATTTGTTCCATATGGTCCTCCTGCAGCCGCTGTCCGGAGGGGTTCACGTGTATGAAAGCCGGTAGGAACCCAAACTACGGCTACACCAGTTTCGACAGCTTCGGGTGGGCCTTTCTCACGCTCTTCCGACTCATGACACAGGACTTCTGGGAGAATCTCTACATGCTGGTAAAGGCCATATGTCTCTGTGTTTGTCTTAGAAAGAAAAATGTTGAGTTCAATAAAATAGTGTGAGAATATCTTAAAGGTGCAGTAAGTGATTTTGTTGGCTTAGCTGTAGCACCAACTCGAAACCACTCCCCCCCCCCCTCGCCTCTCCACCAAAACTTTTCTTTGTCACAAAAGGGAGAGTGGGTGGCAAACGTGAAATTGGCCTTTTCTGTTCAGCCCTTTTAGGTTGTAGAAAATCCGATGACTCCATGGATAACTCAGGTGCGCACACTTGCGAGAAACAGAAAGAGTCACCCTCTTTCTGTTTCTCGCAAGTGTAGGGGGTAAGGGGGTAAACGCATCCCATTGGTTCGTTGGGGATGAACAAATCCAATTGGTTTAATTTTATCGGTCCAAAATATATATTTTTAATATTAGTACAATATTAGACTATATCAGCATCTGGTCAATTCCAATACTATTTGAAAACACATAATAACTTGACTACTTTTAGGGTTTAAGGACCTTTTCCCACAATATATATAAGAAATAAAAAAAACATCTGGAAAAAAAATCACTGACTGCATCTTTAAGCCTCTACCGAGTTCAGTTGCCAAGAAATGCAATTAAACAAGATTTTGACCCAGTAACAAAATTCTTCCATCGTCAAAATCAGACCAGTCATGTCCCCGACTGCTTCTGTCTGCGGGACTTTTAAACATTAAAAGAATATGGCGTGAATGTAATTACTGTCAAATAATTGTATGAACCAATTCCAAAGAGCTGCATTGCAAAAAATAATAAAATACGAGGTAATAATTGCTTGAATCGGGTGGTTGAGTCTGAATGTCTTAAAAGAAGATTTGCCAACAGGACAAAATCATTTAGTCTTATTTCAAGAACATTTGCTTTATTTTCTCATTCCAATTGAGAAAACAGATGTCAATACCAATGAAGTTCTATTAGCAACCGCCCTCCCGTTAAAATACAATTCTGCCATATATTTCCTTTTTTAAATGCGTCTTAGCTGTTAGCATTTTTGTTAGCTTCTTTGGTTAACCATCTTTCTAACGTTTCTAAGATTTATTTTCATACCATCTCCAACATGAACCTATTCTCAAAGCTCTTGTCTGTAAAAATAACTATGTTTTGTGGATTTCTACAGACGCTGCGGGCCGCGGGGAAAACCTACATGATCTTCTTCGTGCTGGTCATCTTCGTGGGCTCGTTCTACCTGGTGAATCTGATCCTGGCTGTGGTGGCCATGGCCTACGAGGAGCAGAACCAGGCCACCATGGAGGAGGCGGAACAGAAGGAGGCCGAGTTCAAGGCCATGTTGGAGCAGCTCAAGAGGCAGCAGGAGGAGACGCAGGTGATTTTAACATTCTACAACTGAAAAATAAATAAATACATAAAATAAAACATTCTACTACTGGGGTGGCAAACTCATTTTAGTCAAGGGCCAGGTTTAAGAACATGAGATCTGGTTGGGGCCAAAGGTGATATGCTTTTATTATCACCATTTTGTTATACATGTTTTTGTATTTTGACAAATTAATTTTATCATGAGTTTAGATATATTTTATAAGTTTGGTTTGGATTCAATCACAATTGGGCCTAATATAAAAATATATATAATTCCGAGTTCAATACAATAACAAAATCATTGGCCTAACTTAACTTCTATTTACATGATAGTTAACACTTTAGAGCAGATTCAATTATATGGTTGAGAAAATAAGATTTAAAATTAAGTATAACATCTCATTGTACCCATTACCATCAATGCTGAAAGTTTCTGTAATTATGATCATTGAAAAACATTCCAGGAGCCATTAATAAATGTTTGACAAATCCCGGGCGAAACCGAGCTGTTCTGAGGAGAGTTTGCATGTTCTCTCCATGTCTGCGTAGATTCCTTCCCTCTAGTTTCCCCCAAGAGAATCAGCTGAGGATGATTTCTATTTGGTCGTGATCAATCGTGCGACCCTGAAATTGAAGACTTACAAAAAGCCTTCAATTTCACACTTTGTACCAGAGTCAGGACTAAACATGGGGACTCAGCATTACAGACTTATACAGCTGAAACAGTCTTCCTAAAAATGTGAGCCAGGCTTCAACTCTGACAATGTTCTCTTAAGCCGTGGATACAACTGAAGAATTGAAACCGCACTCGTTGGAACACTGGGATTATCTGTTTTCTCTGTGTATGATTTTAATCGTTTCAGTAACATTTCTATAATATTTATGGGCATTGGTCATCTCCCTGTTATGGACCAATGGCTCATGTGTTTTTATCATTGCATTTCTTGTGTTTGAACGGTTTTGATTCTCTGATCTGTGTTGGCGAATCGACAGTTGTGTAAAGTCCTCTGAGATAACTACAGTTGAAATAAATGTAATTTAAATGTCACTTTAAGTCACCAATGCACTTGGACTGAAAAACCTGCACTACTATTGCCACTAACCCTAACCTTAGCCATAACAGACTATATTTTTTACATTTGCACACTTCTGTCTTTTGCACAATCTGAGTGATTCTATTTGTGCCAAATGTGACATGTAAATTTCTCTAGTGTGAGATCAATACAGTCTATCTTATATTATCTTATCTTAATTTAATTGAATAAATGTTTACCTGCATAATGTTAGTGTTTCCTTACGCTGTTACTTCTGTTAAACACGTTGAGTTTCCTAGTATGTTGCCTTGCGCTATACAAATACACTCTGCTACTCTGTTACAGGCGGCTGCCATGGCCACCTCGGCTGGGACCGTGTCGGAGGCGGCTCTGGAGGACGAGGGCGGAGGACACCTGTCCCGAAGCTCCTCCGAGGTCTCGCGCCTCAGCTCCAAAAGCGCCAAAGAGCGACGCAACCGCAAGAAGAAGTGGCGTCAGAAAGAGCAGGAGAAGGAGAAAGGGGACAGCGAGAAGGTGGTGAAGTCCGAGTCCGACGACGGGAGCAAACGGAGCACGCTACGATTCCCCGGGACCAGGCTGGGGAGGAAGACGTCCATCATGAACCAGGTCTTTGGCGTTTTCTTGTCATGTTGCAAAAAAAAAACAAGGAAAGACCCGTAATGCAAGAAAGCCAGAATATATTGATTTTAATGAAGGAATAAATAATAGGTTAAAAGAAAACAAAAAAATCCAAACGAAACACAGGAACCGGCAAAACAGACATACATAGACGCACAAAAACAATGAACCACAACGGAACAGGACAGCAAGTAAAACTAAGTACAAAATAAAACAATAAAAAATACATACCATGACATTTCTGGGGTTAAATTTGGGAAAACTACCTGATTTTGGGGCTAAACAATTCTTGGCTGAAATGTGTTTTCCTAAATAATGGTACCAGATTGAGGTGAGAACAAAGGAAGAACTCAAGTGCTGGACTGCAAACAGATTTCATAAACAACTCAAAAAGATTAAGATTAAGAGATCTTTTATTTGTCCCACAGTGGGGAAATTTCATTGTTGCATCACCGGCCACAGAACAGTAGCACTGAGGAGCACACATTCCTAAGTAATCTCCACTAAAATGAATTAAAAAGAAGGAAAAGAAGGAACCTTGGTGGCACTACAGGCTACTAGTCTGTGGGGTATAAGAGTGTGAGCCTACTGAGCCATCCTGTGGAGCAGAAGGTGGCGCTAATGCGCTAACAATTGGTCGCCAACCGCCAACAAAAAACCAGGAGAAGGAGAAGGAATCTCTAGCTTTAGCATATAGTGTGGCTGCCGGATTCGTCCCAGAAACCGGATTCGTCCGGAAGTTCAGTTTGATCATACACGGAATCGGGACGGAAGCAGAAGTAAATATAACAAACTCAAAATATAACAAATCATGCCTAAACTTAACCAGCCATTCCCATAAAATAACCCCAACCCACCCCTAACCCTAACCTTAACCATCTTACTCACACACCTAAAACTTAACCAGTCACCACTTAAGGACTTATTAACTGAACTTCCGGACGAATCCGGTTTCCGGGACGAATCCGGTAGCCACATATAGAATAAGCAAGAATTAATTATAGAATCTCTGACTTCAGTATAATAAAGAAACATAAAATCCAGGACATAACAGAAAGCTAAAATCTAACTAGAAAGGATAGACAATGGACTGACAGCAAGAGGAGAGGAGCATAGGGTTTAATACATACAGGGAGAGACAGGGGAAACAAATGAGGGTGGGGCAGCAACTGGACAAACAGGAAGTCCAACCAGTAAATCAAAAACGTCCACACAACAAAAAGTCCACACAATGACGAAGATGATTTATGGAACCACAAGGCTAAATACTAAGGCTTGGAATGATTATCAAGCAGTAATAGTTTATTTACAAGTTTGTCAGAATCGTTGGTCTTTCTAAAAAGGTCTGGAGTCTGGACAGATCCAAAGTAGTTGTCTCATAATGGTATGAGCTCAAATGAGAATCTACTTTCGATACAATTTTGTGTGGAATAGTATCTGATTTTTGACAAGCTTGTGTGTGATTGTGCATTACTGGAACAGGGCTACTTATGGGAAGTATCAGTAGATAACTTAATTCCAAAATGTATTCCATTAGTTTTCTTATCGGTCTTCACACAATATTCTATAGACAAAGTAAGTAAAGTCAGAGTCAGATCAGTCAGAGATATTCTTTGTTGACCTGAAACAGAAGTGTATTTTCTGAAGAGCAGAGTGGCCGTCTTTGTCCTTAAATGATTTGAAGTTTGAAACCTCAACTGGTTTTAGAGGAAGCACACTGGCTGAGTGGTTAGCCTTCGTCTCTCAGCAGGAAGTTGGGATTGATTCCGGGACGGGAGTCTTCCTGGGGCTATAGGTTCCTCGACCTCCAAAGACATCCTGGTTGCAGCTCCATGGATCTCTTGTAATAACAGCAAGAAGGTCCTGGGTTGGATTCCACCTCCAGACAGGGCTTTTCTGTGTGGAGATTGCATGTTCTCCCTGTGTCTGCGTAGATTTTCTCCGGGTACTCCGGTTTCCCCTACCTCATGTACACTAGGTTAGGGTTGAATGAGTGTGTGTTTGTAAGTGTGACTGAGACTAGAGATTAGATACGTAGCTACAATCAGGTGTGGTTACAGCTCATGTTGTTCATTAATGCACACTGTCCCATCCAATTAAATAAATACAAATACAACTGTAGAGGGTATTGCTCGGTTAAGCCCCTCTCCAGTGCGTACTCAGGCTGCAGCCTAAATACTCAGGGCAACATCAGAAACCTACAGCTTTCAGATTTTGTGCAGATTTTAGTCTTCTTTGTCATTAATATGTTTTTTCTACATCCATCAGTTTTGTTAAAATCCCCTTTTCTTGCTCTCATCAACGAGAAAAGGGTGCATCATGGAGATATTACCCCTGCACACCTACTTCACATGTGAGAGGACCAGAATGAGACAAAAGGCAGCCAGTTTTAGACACAAACCACTCTGAGCCTGTACCAGTGACCACAGGCCCATGACTTAAATGGACCTAAATGGTCTTTAGATCTCTGTCTTTTACTACAACAGGTTTTAGTTTATTTATTTATTTATTTTTATTTATTTATTTATTTCAAAACCTGCACAGAAGACACATTTGACAAATGTTCAGACACATATGTTCAAGGTTTGAAAAGGGGTTGGATGAAGCACTATGCTTATTTTAGCCCAACCCTCTCACCCACACAACACCCGTCAAAATAATCCAAAAATCACATTACAAAGTACTACTGTCAATACAACACTACCACCAATGGTATAGAAGAATTTCAATACGATACTACCACCAATGGTATACAACAAAAATGTTTTATATATATAGAAAAAAAAAAAAAAAAAAAAAAAAAAAACAACCCATGCAGGCCCGAACACTCTGACCCCACCCCTCTCTGCCATCACTCGCTCTGTGCTGAGGGCATCACTCTCTTTCCTCCTTGTATTTCTTTAGTACATCTTTTTTAAACAAAGCTTTAAATTGAGTCAGATTTGTACTATTTTTAAGTTCATCCTTTAAGGTATTCCATAGAGAAACTCCTCGCACTGAGACACACGTTGACTTCAAAGTGGTCCTAAATTTAGGATCAATCTAGTTACATTGAAGACACAGTTAAAAGAGCCGTATTTAAAAAATCTGGCCAAAAGTGGAACTGCACCTTCCCTGATTCAGGTTGCCAGATATGCAGCAGAATCCAGCTGGGACCATAATATCTCAATAAAGAGTTTTGTCAACAACAAATCTATAACCAACACCTTTTTCACAAAGATAGAAATCCTTGTTTTATTCCTTGTTTTCTCATTAATGATTTGAGAATCATGACGAGACCTTTTTTATACAGCTGCCACATGTTACTTTACCAGTGAGAATAACTTGACGCGGTGAGTTCTGGCAACCCGTATCACACTTTTTGATTGGTAAAACAGTGGAGGGCGGGACATGGAAATTAAAACAATAACAAGATTTAGGGGCTATAACTAATTTTGAAATTCAATTATCTCGGCTGAACTACTGTTATCGTTACAGAAGTGTTGGAAAGAGCATAGTTTATTAATGCCATTTGACAGATTATGAAATTCTTACATAATGCTACTTTAACATCGAAGAACAATAATCTGATGAACAACAAACAATTTCGTAAATAAAAAGCACATCAAACGAATGCTTTCAAACTTACCATGTTTAATGAAAAATGTGTAAAAGTAACTTCTCGAACCATGTGTTGTGTGACTGCTGTGTTCAACCTTACAAACCCTGACCCTGTGTCCCCTCTGCCCTCAGTCCCTGCTCAGCATCCCCGGCTCCCCTTTCATGTCGCGCCACAACAGCCGCAGCAGCATCTTCAGCTTCAAAGGCCGCTCCAAAGACATGGGCTCCGAGAACGAATTTGCGGACGACGAACACAGCACGGTGGAGGAGAGCGAGGAGCGACGAGGCTCTCTCTTCATCCCCTATAGACGCAACAGCTACAGCGGGTACAGCCAGGGCTCGTCCCGCATACACCCCCTGGCCCCGCCTCACCCTGGGGGAAAGCGGAACAGCACCGTGGACTGCAACGGAGTGGTGTCGCTGATCGGACCGGGGCCAGGCCGGAGGCTCCTGCCTGAGGTGAAAATAGATAAGGCAGCCACTGACGAGAGTGTAAGGACGTCCAAGCGACACTGGTTCAGTCTAGGCATGATCATGGTGGTAGGCCTGTCACGTGAACGCAGTCCGGAGGGGTATTTTTGGGAGAAGCAAGAGTATTACTCATTTTAAAGACGTGCACACTATGGGGCTGTTAAGTGATGATCCAAACACTGCACTTCCAGAACCAGGCTGAAGCTAAAGAACCAGGCTAAAGCTAACTGAGAGTCCATTTGTTTAGTTCTGTCTACTGCTTCTGATGTAATAACTAGGGAACGACCGGTTTATCAGTTTGCTCTGAAGAATTTCCTTGATGCCATATATGATTTTAAATCTTAGAACCTTGAGAATTCAGCATCTTGTGAGAAATTTTTTGAGAAACACGTAACTTGAGTTAAAAGATTTAGCTGTTTGCATTGTTTGCCACATCTTAGGTTAGGGATCTTTAATCTCACAAATCCATAAAGGATAGAGAATAAAAAGTATGTTTGAGTATTTATTTTATAGTCCCTCAGTGGTGAAATTGTATCTTTTATGACAGCAAAGCAACTATTGATAAATCGGTCATTCTGTATTAACTACTAATACGACAACACTTCTCGGCCGGTGTCTTTGATAGGACATTAAAGTTGGCCGTGTGAACGTCACTAAACCATAGACTGTTGAGAGGCGTGGACAGAGAAGAAGCCCGAGAAGGCTTGCAACTCTCTGAGATCATTTGGGAATTTTACATTTTTGAAACAGTTATGGAAATAGAGCATAAACTTAAGGCTAGGATCAAAAAGAAAGCCAAAATATGTTTCTTTGAATCTAACTAAGAAATTCTCTGTGTGTGACATCACACTTAACGGCCCCATTGGGAAGGAATAGTTTCCGTGGATACCAGACGATAACATGTTTTCATTGACGATAACATGTTTTCCTATTCTGTACTATATACAATTGAACCCTTTCTATGTAAGTTTTTATCATTTGTGATTGGCCAAACTGCCACAGAGAAATGAAAACCAAAAACGGATTTTATTTTTATTCGCACAAATAGAACCATATGTTTTTTTCCTTGTTTCGTACTGGTATCCATTAAACATTGCCAGCCCAAATTAAGCCTCTATATTTCTAATAAAGCGGTTTCAAATGGACTTTAGTTTTAGTAAATAAATGGGAGAACTGAACACATACAAAACCTCTTTAGATACATGAATTGAAAGAATAAGCAAAAGTTTCCATTGAACAGAACATGTACACACGATTGTTCCATTAATCATACATCAAAGTTTAGTGGATGTAGTAGTATTTGTGACAGGCCTACATGTTGGCCCCAGACTCCCCTGTCCCAGGCTGTAGACCCTCTTTCTCTCTTTATTTGTCCTCTGTCATGGATGTCTGATATTTTTTAACATGTGTAATATACTTTTTTTTTTTTCATTTTCCTCAAAATATAATGGAGTCCCTTAAAAAAGTGCACTGCGTTACTGGAATTCACAGTACAGCATTAAATATAGATGTTGTTCTAGGATTTGTATGCTGTACATACATAAGATTAACAGAAATCATGGTCATTATTTCAACTAGGACTTTGTTAATACACAAAGTTGTCTGAAAAGAATTGATGACCTAAAGTAAAGCCACTTCTCTGAGATAACTCAGGTTTAATTGTATAGAACAGTTAAACCTCTGCTTTACTTTCAGGTGGTTTAGAGTCTCGTCTGCATGATTGTGATAGAACACGGTGTTATTGCGTATTCACTGACCTCACAGCAGTGTGAAGAGATTGAACAGAAAAGGTCCAAGGGTCGACCCCTGTGGCACTTCTGAGACACAGTTTCCAAACTTAATAAAGTACTTCCTGTTTTCTAGGTAAGCTTTAAACCAACTTTAGGTGGTGTCAGCGACAACCATCCAGTCCTCTAGTCTCTGAATATAGTCCATCCAGTCCTCTAGTCTATGGTCCATCCAGTCCTCTAGTCCCTATATATGGTTCATCCAGTCCTCTAGTCTATGTTCCATCCAGTCCTCTAGTCTCTGTATATGGTCCATCCAGTCCTCTAGTCTATGTTCCATCCAGTCCTCTAGTCTCTGAATATAGTCCATCCAGTCCTCTAGTCTCTGTATATGGTCCATCCAGTCCTCTAGTCTCTGAATATAGTCCATCCAGTCCTCTAGTCTATGCTCCATCCAGTCCTCTAGTCTCTGTATATGCTCCATCCAGTCCTCTAGTCTCTGAATATAGTCCATCCAGTCCTCTAGTCTCTGTATATGGTCCATCCAGTCCTCTAGTCTATGTTCCATCCAGTCCTCTAGTCTCTGAATATAGTCCATCCAGTCCTCTAGTCTATGGTCCATCCAGTCCTCTAGTCTCTGTATATGGTCCATCCAGTCCTCTAGTCTCTGAATATAGTCCATCCAGTCCTCTAGTCTCTGTATATGCTCCATCCAGTCCTCTAGTCTTTGGTCCATCCAGTCCTCTAGTCTCTGTATATGGTCCATCCAGTCCTCTAGTCTCTGTATATGGTCCATCCTGTCCTCTCGCCTGTGTGTGAGGATCTCATGGTCAAGTCAAAAGCAGCACTCAAATCTAACACAATTAAGACTGAGACTTTCAGACAGTGCTAAGCCGGATGTTATCTTTATCTTTATGGGGTTTTAGTCTCACAAAACATTAGTCATATTTGAATTAGGTCTGACACTTCTCTAGTAGTAATTCAGACACCGGAAGTAGATCTGAGAGATGAATCACCATTTGCTAAATAACAGAAAAGAATAAGCTAAGAATTCTGTGAATTCTTGTCTTAACGTGCCAGTAGAACATGTTTCCAATGCGTTATACTAGCAAAGGCATTTTTTCGTCATTTCAATTGAGAAATTGCTTTTCAGTAAAAATAATACATTTTAAGCCTGTTACAATACCAAATCTGACAGTGGAACCTTTTTTGTGCAAATTTAGATTAAAATGTCAAGCCTAACTGACAATATTTCATATTTTTGTCAGAAAAATACATTTAGATCGTTTGCCAAGTTACTATTTGCGTATTTTCCATTTCCTGTCCAACACACAGCAGGAAAGATTATGTTGATGTTGATGTCCTGGTCACAGTCATAGTTATCGACCACAACAATTGGCTCATTAGACACAACTTACAAATGACCCAATGAATAGATAGATAATAAGATTATATTTTGAGCAACACTGCTGACAAATATGTCTGCATTCAATCATGGATCACAGCTGTTTATAATAGTTATAAATAGTTTAAAGTTTTATTCGTCTGACAGTCGGTAGATTTCAGATGGATGAATAGGCTTAATGCCATACTGTGAAGCCTCGTAATCAAAACAAGTCTATTGTCATACTACACTGTGCACCTATAGTAATATAACCAGTATATAGATCTTTTTCTTTCATAATTATTGTAATTAAAAAAACTAAGAATCATAAGTTACTATTCTCACTATCAATGTGTCCCTTCTACCCTTTTCTAACTGTCTGTCTATGTCAGCTGCCTTTGTCGTCCAAAATGACTTGAGAAAACCTTTAAGTTTTCCCCTTTTTAGTCCAAACCGGTTGAATAACTCTGCATTTAGCATGGTACGACAGAACAAGTCTTGACCTACATGCATGCTAATGAGTGCATGTGGTGCAATGTCTCTGGTTCAGCTCCATATACAGTACCTGTGAAAACCTCTGAAAGTGAATGCTGAAAAGAGTAAAGTCTCAAAGAACATATCACTGGTTGTCTATGTTTTTACCAAGAGCACTGTGTGTTTGTGTGATGGAGGGCTTATCTTCTTTCTTCATGGAGATGTTTCAAGAGGAATCGCAATTTTATCTGTACAGACAGCATATTAAGAGTGGGCTGACTGAGTGCGGACTTCACCATAGTGTTAGTGTTAATGCAGAAGAAGTCGATTTGAACATAAGGTTGATGATGCCAGTTTCATTCTTAGGCATTTGTTCAGACCGGCGTTACAGAGGCAGATGTGTTGCCAAGATGGTTGCTAAGGCCAACTGAAGATTCTGAACACCAGGATCATACATTTTTAAGCCCAAAATGGTGAGCGTGAGACAAACAGTTACTGAGCTGGAGGAGTTTATTTTTCATTGTAAGTCAATAGGAGCCAGAGCAAACTGGAGCAAAATCAAAGCATGTATAATGTCTTGAGTCAGTGGATCAGAGGAATGCAATGGGTTACAGAAAGAGTTCCTACCCATGAGCAAATGTTGGTATTCCCCATTATGTGACTGTAAGGCTAGATCCATGCATGTAAGCCACTAACTCAACTTGCTCTTCCACCACAATGCTCAAGTTCAGGACATTCTAGTTCAAGGGTCTCCAACCTTTTTCACCCGGATAGCTACTTCCTCAGGACTAAAGTGGCAGATGTCATTGCTACATGTGCTCCATTTAGGCATCCGGGGGAGAAATGTCAGTTGAACAGTGATCAACAGTCATCATTTCTAATTGATTACCTCTTTAGTTTTCATTTACAAAAGTTGTCCGGATCATACATTGTGAATCATACATTTTGGAATGATTTGCATTTTTTGTACTTTCTAAATCCTTTGGGGAGCTTCTTGGAAGGCAGTGGTGAGCTACTTATAGCTCCTGAGCTCGAGGTTGGAGACCCCTGTTCTAGATTTGGCGAACATCTCCATGGAGAAAAATAGGTGGCAAATAAGTCTCACTGAACATTCATGCGTAAAACCAGTGCTCGTAGTCAGTGATAAAGTTGTTTGAGTATTTACACTTTGGAATCTTGGATATTTGCATCAACACAGTCAAAAAAAAAACTTCTCTTGACCACTGACGGCGCTGTTGTTTTGTCACAGACGACAGATGTGGAGTTGAAGAAGAAGCACTCGGGCTCACTCATGGTGTCGGTGGACCAGCTCAACTCCTCCTTCAAAGAAAAAGACCACACCAAGAGCCAGATGAGCGTGGTCACCAACACTCTGCTCGAGGGTTTGTGTTCAAAACATTAGACTGAAGCTGAACCCCAATGTCCACACTCCTAACTATGTACTACACAACATAGGGGCCATGCCATGTATAGTACCCAGCATGTCCAACAAGGGACTGTGCGAGAGTCAGGGAAACCACTGCAGACAGAATGAAATGAAAGAGCCAATTTCACGACATTAACTGCTAAACTTAGCTTGAGCCGTGTATACTTTGTAACCTAGATGTATTGTATCATCGCTAGCTTAAGCTTGTCTTCAGCAGGGTGGGGCTATTGTACCCTCGGGAATTCCATAGAGATTTCCCCATAGACCTCAATGTTAACAAAAATGGCTCCTCCTGGTTTTTTCTTCATAAAAAAGTGCCACAAACTCTACTTGCTCTCGTCCCACTCTAGCTCCACTCTAATCATCGGCTCTGTTATTGGTCAGAACGCTCACATCTCTGGTCCCTCTCTTATCTCTTTCTAGTCACTCTGGGGGCCCTGCCTGTTTCTCTCTCTTCTCTTTCTTTCTCTCTCTGGTCTCTCTGCGGCACTCTGATTGGTCAATACGCTTTTGTGTAACTTTGATGAAAAATTGTCCCAAATATCTTCAAATAAAAAAAATAAAAACAAAATTTGAAAAAATCAGCCTTGATGACCTAGCCACGTGGCCCTCGCTGAGGAGAAAGCAGTGAGCTGTGTACGGAGTATGAACGTTTGGAGACTGCAGATGTAGAATGACATTTCTTCTATGATGTGCAGCTTAACCTGACCTTCGCATTTCCATTTTACGTCTATCTGTTCATTTTCTAGCTCATAATATTATCAAATATTCTAAAACTTGAAACGTCAAAGTAAATATTCTCAAGGTCATTGGTCATTGGCCGAGTTTTTTTTTTTCCTACTGAGATGTCTTGTTCTCCTCTGATCCTTGCACAGAGCTGGAGGAGTCTCAGCGGAAGTGCCCCCCCTGCTGGTACAAGTTTGCAAACGTCTTCCTGATCTGGAGCTGCTGTCCCATGTGGCTGAAGATCAAACACGTGGTCTATTTGATTGTGATGGACCCGTTCGTGGACCTGGCCATCACCATCTGCATCGTCCTCAACACGCTCTTCATGGCCATGGAACACTACCCCATGACGCCCGAGTTCGAAGGCGTGTTGGCCATGGGAAACCTGGTAACAACCGCGTTTATTCACGTTATTAACACTGGCACTCGCAGAATTACTAGAACTACTAGAACTCCCACTTATGGAATTCTGAAAAATTCTCCACAAAACATACACACAACACAATTTATTAAGTAAGTAGTTTATAAGATAGAGCAAAAACAGTCTGTTGAAAGGCTAAATGCTAACTGCTGACAGTAAACAGGGTGTTGCTATGGTAACTAGGACTGAATATAACTTCACTATTTCCATATTATAGGCCTCATTGAGCTAGCGGTTTAGCATTGTTCTCCTATATACAGTCTCTGGGGGAGTGTCTTGCCCAAGAACACCGGCCAAAGTCCATACTGTGCATATGCTGTTTGGGGAAGTCTAGGTGCATCTCAGAAATGACGCGGCAGTGTGGACCGTTTTACCAGAATCGTTTCAGGTTTACCCACAAGGCCTTAAGAGTAAAGATGGTAGTTTGATATTTGCACTTAAGAACACATATATACGCTCCTCATTAAACATTTAGGGCCATCTAAAGCAGACAGGCAGCCGCGCGCTCTTGCTTACCTCAACTCTTAACTCTGCTGCTTATTACAGATCCACGGGCAGCATTCTCTATGTAACGTTGAAGAACTCCTGCAGGAGACAAGTTTGCATGTTCTCCTCGTGTGTGCATAGGTTTCTTTTACGACTAAAAACACGTACAATAGGTCTGGATCTAATGAGTGGGTGGATTGCGCTGTATAAAGAAAGATTTCTTACCTACAATTTGGCAAATAAACATATACATTTCAAACGAACGCTGTCGTTGAAATAAATTAGTGCAAGGCAGCAATTTCATTACTCCCTCTGGGTTTTCTAGTTGTTTCTTGCTGATGCAGGAGGGTCTAAGGACAGTGGTGATCCATATAAAGCCATTTATGTACATTTATGAACATTGGTTATCTTCTCCCTATGGATTAATGGCTCCTATGTGTTTGTTTTTATTGCATTTCCTGTGTTCAAACTTTTTCTCTGATCTGTTGTTGGCAATTCAACAACTTTGTAAAGTCCTCCAAGACGACTGCTGTTGTGATTTAGGACTATACAAAAATAACTTGAATTGAAAGGAATTATCAAAATACCAACACATGCAAACACACGCAAGTCCAGGTCAGAAAATAACATCAACTTCTTTGACCCGTCTCCTCTCAGGTCTTCACGGGGATCTTTGCTGGGGAGATGTTTGCGAAGCTGGTCGCCATGGACCCGTACTATTACTTTCAGGAGGGCTGGAACTGCTTTGACGGCTTCATTGTGACGCTGAGTTTAGTGGAGCTGGGTCTGGCCGACGTGGAGGGTCTGTCTGTGCTCCGATCCTTCAGATTGGTGAGTCCAACCGGAGAATCTCACACTGGGACGAGCCATCACTCTCAACTCGAGACCAGCAGCTGACGAGGACAAAATATCACAAAATACAAAGTTCAACAGAAATAATAAGTGTCACGATCAATATTTATAGGTTATGGGAAATGGATGATCTAAGTTTTACCCCTTGGACATCGGACAAAGGGTGTCTCAAGTCTTTTTAGCAGCAAGGGGTGGGAGTAAGAGCTTTAAGAATGGGGTACTAAACTTTTCGAGCCACAAAAAATGCAACTTTGTCATGAAATCGACGCGGTTTAATCTCTAGTTTCATGTATTTTTGGCCACATCTTTTGATCAGCTTTTTCAGACAGAGAAACATTATTTTCCCAGTGTAAGAAAAGATAAATACTACTTAATTCATGCATCTCTTCTGTAATTCAACTTACCATACTATTACATGACATCAGAAATATCTAGCTTTTGTTGTCATAATGTTATTTATTGGCTCACAGTAAAAACCCCAAAGAAAACATCTTAGGTTTGAGTTATCTCAATTACTCACGAACTACAAGGGTTTCATACCAGTCCTCAAAAAGGCCAGTGTGGCAGCAGGTTTTCATTCCAACCAAGCAGGAGCAAATCAAACTCCACCTATTTCCTCAAGTGACAAATGGGTGTCTCTGGTCTCCCTTTGGTCTCTCTCTTGTGTGTCTCTCTGGACTCTCTATCTGGTCTCTCTACTTGTCCTCTCCATCTCCCTCTCTCTCCTTTCTCTTTTCTATATCTTATCTCTCTCTGTCATCTCTCTCTTTTATCTTTTTCTTCTCTCTCTGTTCTCTCTCCCTGGTTTCTCTCTGGTCTCTCTCTGTTCTCTGTCTGTCTCTCACTGTCTTGCTCTGTTCTCTCTCTCTGTTCTCTCTCTGGCCTCTCTCTCTGGTCTCTCGCTCTGTTGGGATGAAAACCTGCAGCCATGGCGTTTTCTGTAGATATGTTTCCAAATTGTAATCCAACCCTAACATCAACCTGTCGCCTTCCAGTTGCGAGTCTTCAAACTGGCAAAGTCGTGGCCCACGCTCAACATGCTGATAAAGATCATCGGGAACTCGGTGGGCGCCCTGGGTAACCTCACCCTGGTGCTGGCCATCATCGTCTTCATCTTCGCCGTGGTGGGGATGCAGCTGTTTGGAAAGAGTTACAAGGACTGCGTGTGTAAGATCGCCCAGGACTGCGAGCTGCCGCGGTGGCACATGAACGACTTCTTCCACTCTTTCCTGATCGTGTTCCGCGTTCTGTGCGGCGAGTGGATTGAGACCATGTGGGACTGCATGGAAGTGGCGGGCCAAACCATGTGTCTGACGGTGTTCATGATGGTGATGGTGATCGGGAACCTGGTGGTGAGTGCGGGCAGCGGACCCAGACCAATCCACTTTGAATAGGGACAGTATACATAATCAACATTTGTGTAAATATGTTAGTGTTAGCCATACATCTAGTTTCCAACTGTAGTCCCGAGGCAAGGTGTAAAATGGCAACAAATTGCATTGAAAAAATTACAATATTAAAAGACATAGTTAAATGTCTTAAATGCCGTTACAATTTGAAACAGGCCATTAAAACATTTTGGCCATTTTAAGTTTACCATTGAATTTGTGGTTTCCATTTCGCATAAGTGTTAAAAAAAAAATTGTATTGATGGGTATTTAAAATAATAAATAGGGAAATATCTGTCTCTGTAGGCAACAGCTTTGTTATTTAAGCTCAAACAGTAAGTGAAACTCATCACCGACCTGAACACTTTACAACACCGTAGATGTCTGTCAATGCTCTAGTATCAGCCTGTGATTTTTGACGGTCCATTACTTTCAAAATACTTAATTAAAACAAGTTTCCAAAGTGGTGCGCAGAGACAAATGTAACAAATTTAAACATCTACATGTAGTAATAGTTGGTAAATAGCAACATTAGTATTTCTTTGTTATTTCACTTTTACTGTCAGCTCATTACTCATCGCTATTAGTTCCATTATTGCGCAGTGCCACAGATCAAAGTCCATGTGGTAAGCTCAGATCTTCAGCAGGAGAACAGTCTCATGAGCGCCCTCTTGTGGATGTGCAGGTGTTGAATCTGTTTCTGGCTCTGCTGCTGAGCTCCTTCAGCGCTGATAACCTGGCGGCCACAGACGATGATGGAGAACCCAACAACCTGCAGCTCGCCATGGCCCGGATCCACAAGGGGGTGGCCTGGTTCAAACTCAACATGAGAGCGGTGGTGGCACAGGTGCTCAAGAAGGTATGACGCTTTGTAAAAACACAAACAGCGGCTTTATTTGTGTGTTATTACCCCCGATGTCTTTAGTGAGCTTTTCAAATTTGATGTCATTGTAATTTATATCAATTCAACTTTATTCCCGAATGTTAGTCCAATTGACCGCAGGGGCCAGAGGAAGTCTGGTTTTGGGGATCACTGGATTTCATCTCTGCTGTTTGCAGACAATGTTGTCCTGTTGGCTTCAACAAACCAGGACCTTCAACATGGGGACAGGGACAATAACGTATAACAAAAAGGAAAACACGCACTCCCCGTGTTAATATAAGACAAGCTTTGATTTGACCATAACCAGTGTTCCATCCCCACGTTCTCCTCTGCAGCCAATCGAGGACGAGCAGAAGCCGCTGGACGACATGTACGAGGAGAAGCTCAAGTGCATCGCTAACCACGCGGTCGACATCAACCGTGAGATGGACTACGCCAAGAACGGCAACGGCACCACGAGCGGCATCGGCAGCAGCGTGGGCAAATACATGATCGACGAGGACTACATGTCCTTCATCCACAACCCCAACCTGACCGTGTGCGTGCCCATCGCCGTGGGAGAGTCGGACTTTGAGAACCTCAACACAGAGGACTTCAGCAGTGAATCAGACGTGGAGAACAGTAAAGACGTGAGTACGGCTAACAAGGCTACAACATTCATGCTACAATGTTGTACTTCCACATTCATGCTAGAATGTTGTATCCATGATGTAGGTGTATCTATAAACCATTTGCAAGAGTCAAAAAACATTTTTCATACATTTGTCTCCAGTAGGTTAGTCTACTGTAATGGCTGCTCACAGTTCTTTCCGAACGAGCTCTAAAACATCTGCAGTCGATTCAAAATGCAGCAGCTTGAGTCCTGACTAAAACCAGGAAGTACGATCACATTAGTCCTGGTCTCAGGTCTCTACTCTGCCTTCCTGTGGCTCAGAGAATAGACTTTAAAGCGCTACATGTTTGTGCCATATGAACCAAGTCAGACTCTGAGGAGCACAGGGACTGGTCTCCTGCTACATGAGGAGGCAGTGTTTAAGATTTCTGCCGCCAACATTATGAACAGTCTTCCTGAAAATTTGAGAAACTGAAGGATTGTATCTTAACTGATCTTTATGCACTGTGATTATCTATGATTTCAATGCCTTGTGTGATTGTTTATCTTACTTTGTTAAGCACTTTCAGTTGCGTTGTGCATGAACTGTGCTATACAAATAAACCCGCCTTGCCCCAATTCCAAACATTTAAATCTCAACGGCCCCTCCTTGTTGTGTGGCGTTACATAAAAACCATGTTATTCCAAGTCTGAATGCCTCGTCTCCTGCTCGTCTCCCTCCCTCCACAGTTTTATGGAAGTTGCATAATAATTCGCTTTGAACGCATCGATTTGTTCTGGCGTTACCTGAGATTTTCCGAGAGCCGTGATGGGGCTGCGTAACACGAGCCGCAGATGCTGATGCGGCGGCCATGACGGGAGCAGCCACGCGGGGGCCGTCCGCACCAGGTCAAAGTCACCTTGACCTGGATCTTATAGAGAACAGATAATGCTGGAGCCGTGGCTTTGTGGACTGGGTCATTCAATTCAATTCAATTTATTTTTGTATCACCCTAAATCACAACAGCAGAGATCTCAGGGGACTTTACAAAACAACACACACAATGAAATAATAACAAACACATAGGAGCCATTAGTCCATACAGAGTCCGTAGACCCTTGTGCATTGGCAAGGCATGTGAAAGCCAGATCCTGTCAGATCTCTGAATCTAAGCAGGGCAGGGCCTGGTTAGTATTGTGATGGGAGACCTCTGGGAACACCAGGTGCTACAGTGGGGTGGCTGCGATTGTAAAATGCAAACCTGCATTGCTAAACATGAGTCTGGTGTGCATGTGAATGGTTGGTGGTGTCAGTCTACCCCAGGGCTGCCGTGCCTATAGAAATAGTTTATCACCATTGTGAATGTAGTGAATGAATAATGACATGGTAAGCGTCTTTGAGAGTCTAAAAAAGCCCATATTTAAGATCCATGAATTATTAGTGGGAAAAAGTTAGACACCGCTGGGAAGTCCACATTGAAAGAGTGATCAGCTCCCAAAAACGGACAAGCTGTAGATCCAGGACTGAGGCTGTAGATCCAGGACTGAGGCTGTAGATGCAGGAGTGAGACTGTAGATCCAGGACTGAGGCTGTAGATCCAGGACTGAGGCTGTAGATGCAGGAGTGAGACTGTAGATCCAGGACTGAGGCTGTAGATCCAGGACTGAGACTGTAGATCCAGGCTGTAGATGCAGGACTGAGGCTGTAGATCCAGGACTGAGGCTGTAGATCCAGGACTGAAGCTGTAGATCCAGGACTGAGGCTGTAGATCCAGGACTGAGGCTGCAGATGCAGGACTGAGGCTGTAGATCCAGGACTGAGGCTGTAGATGCAGGACTGAGGCTGTAGATGCAGGACTCAGGCTGTCGATCCGAGACTGAGGCTGTAGATCCAGGACTGAGGAGGGTCCCAGGCTGGGGAGGGGGGGTCAGGCGTTCCTGTGGGCTTCAATGACAAAAGGGAGAAGCGTGGAGGGTGCTGGGCAAGAGCAGCTGAATGCTTTGCTGACGCTGGGAGACTTTAAAGTGCACTATCATTCCACGGCGGTGAGTTATGAGTGTGTGGCTGTGGCTGGAGAGTGCAATAACAGGACTGCTGCTGTAAGGCCTCTCTGCTCTTGACGGACGACGGCTCTATTAGCCTATTAGCCCGGGTTATTAAAAAACACATTACATGTAATAATGATTATATAATGTCCAGGATGAGTGCGGTTTGAGAGAGAATGGTTTGTGTCCGCTCTCTCTGTTTGAACATGTGTGATTTCTGCAGCTCTTTTGACCAGTGTCCTTCATCGGGGAGTTTTTAAAGTAAACAGTGGGAGATTACGGGCCGTAACAAGTCAAGGCAAGTTTATTTGTGTTGCACAGTTCATACACGAGGCAACTCCAAGTGCTTGACAAAGAAAAGATTAATCATACAAGCCATTCAAATCATAAATAATCATAGTGCATCAAAAAACGGGAAGAAATACATTATAAACCTCTCCCCTGTGATTGTATTGTTTGAGTAGGCTCTTTATACAAAGGCATCTAACCCTGTTTTGATGTATACTGGGGCCTCTAACGCAAAGGCTGATGTTCTTTGCGAGCACAAAAGAAACTAAAGAAACCATCTGTGGATTTTCGAAGATATCTCTTTATTTGAGTGTATTAAACAAGACAAGTTTATTACATAAGATTTGTCAATGGAGCGAGTATCTTTGGTCTTGTTGTCTACATAATTTGAGTGGTTGAGTGGTTAGCCCTCAAGGTCCTGGGTTTTATTGTATGTCTGCATAAGTTTCCCCCTGGTGCTCCGGTTTTCCCTTATCACTAAAAACACGTACAATAGTTGCAGGGGGCGAATGGGTATACAGTATGTTTCTGAAGAAGTCCCCAGGTTGAGGACGAAACGTCGGGAAAACTTGCTAAGAAGTACAGATGATGGGTGAGAAACCTTCCTTTGCTTCGGTGTGACTGAGTGATAACGGATGCAATGTCGCCCAAAGCCACAATTGGGAGAGGTGTGTTCATCAACATGCACTGTCCCAACCAAAGAAACAAAAACTATAAAAAGGACTTGGATCTCATTTTGATCACTCTCATTCTTCAAAGCGGGAGTACCTAACTTTCAACCCACAAACAAATGTAACTCTAATAAAATCCATGTCTCCAGTTCCTGGCTCTAAAACATTTGCTTCTATCACTAGTTTTTTTTAAACATTTTTAGATCAGATTTTTCAGAAAGAAAAGTGAAAAACCCAGAGGACTCAGCCAATCAGCTCTCAGCCCAAAACGTCAAATATGGCTCTGTTAATCCGTTTCTACATCTTTCTCAATTCTAATGGTCAAAACTACAATTCCAACCATCTCTTAATATAGCAGCGTCAACAGCTCGTGTCCTGAATCGGGAGCAGAATAGTTTTGCGTGACCGTGTTCAAAAATACACGGATGAGTCACCGCCGAGTCCTGCTGTAAATCCTGAATCACATCTGAATCCAACGGGACGGCAACTGCTGACCTGGCAACATGCCCAGTGCGAGCGGTGGGGAAGTCTATGTGGATTCTCAGCTTTTTGTCCAGAAAACCTTTTTTTTTTTAAAGATAATTATCACCATGGATCATTTCTATGCAGTGTCCAGAACAACATTCTAAAGTCCTGAGAAATCCTAGCTGGGTTTCATTCTCCATCAATCCAAGATGTCTGCCGGATGAAACAACTGTAAATAAATAAGTGTTACTACTGTAGCCACAGCTGTCCTGGGGCACACCGACAGTAGTGAGGGAACTCGTATGTGCCATCGGCCTCTTTTTTGACCAGACTCTTTCTAATGTGGATGAAGTGTCAGTTCAATGTCGATTGTCCTCGAAAAAAAATGCTACAAATGCTAAAAACCCAGTGGGAGAAATGTGAGAAACCACAATATATATACAATTATGACAATTATTATAAATGACGGTTATCTCCTTGCAAAACTTTAATTGTTTTAGACTGAGAGCTGATTGGTTGACTGAGGCTTGTCCTTGGAAAAAGCTGATCTAAAGATGTGACAGAGGCAAAAAAAATAAAATAAACACATGCAGATAGAACCATTTTGTTTTAGAGCCAAGAACAGAGATGAGGGATCTATCTTCCTTCAATGTTTAGAAATAAATGGATCATCATAATCTATAGATTGTTTGTTTGTTCCCCCCGTGCTATTAGTTTTTTTTTATTTTGACTGTACTTGATTCAATGTTCATGTTTGTATTCAATATGATGGCAATGAATTAATTAATTGTTTTATTTGATTTATTTATTTTTTGTAACAGTACGAATGTCTTAACTGGCACCCCAGGAAGATTAGCAGCCTCATTGGTGGAAGCTAAAATGGATCCCCACTAAACAATACACAACAAAAAACAAAGAACTAGTAAAATGCTGAACCATGACTGGATTATAATTACTGTATTCTACTTTAGTCGAATCAAACTTAGGTACCCGAGCTTTAAAATCCATTGAGTAATCGCTTTGTGTCTTGTCGCTGCAGTTGGACGACACGAGCTCCTCTGAGGGCAGCACCATCGACATCAAGCCGGACGTGGAGGAGGTGGCCGTGGTGGAGGTGGTGGAGGAGTACCTCGACCCCGAGGCCTGCTGGACGGACGGTGAGAGCGGCCCTGACCATGACCACGACCGCAGCCCGGGGGCCTCGGTGGACCAGGAGATAAAGTCTAGGAGAACAAGTCATCGCAGTCAAAATTGCTATTTCCGTGCTAGCAAAGTCTGAAAACATCCCACAGTGGGGAAATTTCAGTGTTGCATCACATGTCACAGGACAGTAGGAATGAAGAGTATACAGCACAAGATAAATGAATAATAACTCTTTAATAAATCTTTAACTCTAGTATTAAAGGAAAGACGTCTGAAACCCCCAACTTTAGCATGATTAAGAAGCAAGTGTCAAGTACAAAAGCCCATGACTAAGTTCTTAATTGCAAACGTGAAAGGGACAAAAGATAAGCAACCACCATTTGTCATTTCTTGGTTTAGAATGTGTGAAATATTATCTTCAGTAGAAATGAAAGAAGTATGTGGTGGACCAAAATTTGAAGGGTGAAAAATGCTCAATGCCTGTAACCCCCTATGCTGCCACCAGAGGGAGTAGCAGAATTTGATGTGTATTTTTTCAGTATCAGAATCATTATAGTTTGGTGACAGCACTAGATTTGGTTTTATTTTGAAGATTTGTCAACGGAATGAGTTTGGATCTTTTTGTGGGCAGAGGCCTTTAGAAAAAAAATCAAAATCATTTCTATAAACTGTCAAAATATGTTGCACAACGACGGCCTGACAGTGAGAGAAGATACCAACTACTTCATTCATTAATGTTTATATATTTCACATTTTTGCCATAATGGTGCAGCCCTGACGGTAATTCATATGTATTCTTCATGTGCCCCTGTGTTCTGTGAATGTCTGTGTTTGTGTGTGTGTGTGTGTGTGTGTGTGTGTGTGTTGTGTGTGTATTTGCAGAGTGCATCGCCAAATACAAGTGCTGTGACGTGCCCATCACTCACGGTTGGGGGAAGTACTGGTGGTTCCTCAGAAAAACCTGTTACCTGATCGTGGAGCACAACTGGTTTGAGACGCTCATCATCTTCATGATTCTACTGAGCAGCGGAGCTCTGGTACGCACACAAACGCACTAACTCACACACACACACACACACAGCATACGCGCACACACACAAAAGGCACATACACACACTCACACACAGATTGCACACACGCAGGCAGACACACGCACGCATTCACACACATACACACAGGCACACACACACACATACACACACATATACAGAGGCACACACAGACACACATATACAGAGGCACACACAGACACATATATACAGAGGCACACACAGACACACACACATATATACAGAGGCACACACAGACACACACATACACAGTCGCGCACACACACATACACAAAAGTCAAATTCAATTCAATTTATCCCCAAATCACAGTAGTTGTTATCTCTGAGATAACTGTTCAAACACAAGATATGCAATGATTAAAAAAAACACAAACACAGAAGGTCCTGGGTTCGAATCCTGGCCGGAACATAGGGCCTTTTTCTGCGTGGAGTTTACATGCTCTCACCGTGTCTGTGTAGGTTTCTTCCGGGTGCTTCGGTTTCCCCTTCCACTTTAAAATATGTGCAATCGTTCAGGGTGAATGAGTGTGTGGTTGTGAGTGCTACTGTCTGTGGGTCGCCGGATGGAAATTAGCCTAATGCTACAATCCGGAGTGATGTGTTCATTAGCATGAACTGTACTTGGCGACACGGTGGCTGAGTCGTTTGCTCTCTCGCTTCTCAGCAAAAAGGTCCTGGGTTCGAATCCCGGTCGGAACAGGGCCTTTCTGAGTGGAGTTTGCATGTTCTCCCCGTGTCTGCGTAGGTGTCCTCCGGGTGCTCCAGTTTCCCCTGCCACTAAAAACATGCACAATAGGTATGAATGTAAATGAGTGAGTGAGTGGATGGTGTTGATTGGGGGCTTTGATGTGTGTTCGGCCACTCGCTTCCGTCATCACCTTTTGGAGAGAACGGAAAAATTGCTGAACTCTGCACATTGTAAAGCGCTTTGAGTGACGTTTGTCTGTAAAATGCGCTATATGAATGAATATGACTTACTTACTTACTGATAAACATTATAACTAACATGAAGAAATTGGTCCATAAGGGGCAGATGACCAATGTCCATAAATATTGATAAATGTCGAGAGTTCTGGATCATCACTGTCTCTTCTCCACAAAACACCCCCTTCTGTCTCCATCTCACATTGCTTTGGATGCGTCGAACAAGTAAACGGTTCAAGTACGAAGCCGTCTTTACTGGTTGGAATAATGGTTGTGTAGAGAGCCCCTTCCCCTCCCCCTCGCCTCCGCCCTGAACCTGCAGTCTAAGCTGGTTTGTGGGATGCTGCATTAGGCCCATTCACAGTGCATGAGCCCCGGCCCTATCAAAGGCTTACGGTAATGTCTTCAGGCCCGGCCACTTCTAAAAGCTACTCAATGTAGGTTATGGTCGACAGAAAACCCAATAACTTCTGTTCGTAAAGCGACACGGACGGAAAATACATGAATGTTTTGATAATAGGAGTTTTGGCAGCGGATGACAAGACCCAGGCTTTTAAAATGGGATGAAAGATAAAAACAGATGGAGACAAGTATTTAGTCTTTTTTAGCTCTCCATTTCATCTCAAAACCACAACATTCTATCCTCATCTTATTAGAAAACGTGTTATTTTTGGCATAAATGTAAGAAAGAGCCTCGAGAGTCACTATTGGATGCTTTTGGCTGAGAGCTGATTTTTCCATTTTTCTTCACTACAAAAAGTGATGACAAATAAGAAAAACATGACTCAAATTTGGCAAAATAAGATAAAAACGACTTTATTCAACACATTGTTAAGTGAAATTATTAAGTGTAGAGATGTGACAGAGGCCAAAAGATACATACAAGCAAAGGGAGGGACTATAGTGACTTGCACTTTATTATGGAGTTACTTATTTTAATTTTATTTTAAAGTTAAATACCCTAGCTTTAAGACAAGGGAAACATGCCTTGAAAATGTTTCTTTCATTTCCTTGGTAGAAATGCCTAGATCAAAATGTATAATAATGAATGAGCGATGAAGCAAACAAATTGATGAGAGATCAGATATTGCTCGAGCTTAAGGCTATATCCACACAAAGACAAAACGCTTATAATTTCAGAAACTTTTTCTGTAAACACGGAGTTAGCTCAGTAAATGTGTGCGTCCATATGAATGTAGTCATGCGCCTGAAAACGCTGTGAAACTATGCCAGACCTGTTGGTGGCGCTGTGACGCAATGACGGGATCAAGCCCAAACTTCCGTGGGCATGCGCGGAATTTTGTAAACAGACAACATGGCGAGTGGGCGAGCTGGTACTACATTAGTATGGACGGACGATGAGGTTGAACTGTTGCTTCGGGTCACACTGGATTACAAAACCAACAAGCTACATTGTTGTTGTCATTATTTTCTGAGTGCGGCGCATGCGTGCTTTAACAAGAGGCGGGGCGATGACGCAAGCGTCTCAGATACATTGCGGAGAGGCAGTAACCACGGAGCGGCATATACGGAGTTTTGAAATCTTTCCACTCTGGGACCTAGTTTCAAAAATGTTCGTTTACACCCCCCCAAAACGCCGGCCTCGTATGGACGATACACTGGATTGATAAAGTATTTTTGCGTTTAGGCCTGAGCTTGACTTCGTGTGGACAGGGCCTAAAGCTGGTGTTCCTAATTTGGCTGTTACAAACTAATACGTGTAGTTTGTCCCAACGGAAAGAGTAAAATGTTGTGTCTTCATTTGATTAATAAAGTATCGTGATCCCACATTGCCTGTAATCAGTCTGGTGTGTGTGTGTGTGAATGGTTGGTGGTGGTGGGAGGGGCCGATGGTACATACTGGTTGATGGTACATACTGGTTGATGGTACATACTGGTTGCCTCGCTCCTGTCAGTCTGGCCCAGGGCAGCTGGGGCTACAGTTGTAGTTTATCACCATTGTTAAGAGTAAAAGAATAATGACATGTGAAGCGTCTTTGAGTGTCCCAAAAAAGCGCTATATGAAACCAATGATATTTTAGACAGAAGGCAGAAGGGACGGAGTTAACCAGTTTGTGCCAGAAGTTGCTGATATTATCATGGATCGATCTAAAACAACTCCAGGTCTGTGATTGACACTGGATTATTTATTTATTTTCAGGCATAATGGGATTTTTCCCATTATGCCGGGATTAACTCCTGTATCGTCTTGTTGAAAGCGTGTCTTGTGTCTCCAGGCCTTTGAGGACGTTTACATCGAGCAGAGGAAGACGGTGAAGATCATTCTAGAATACGCAGACAGAGTGTTCACCTACATCTTCATCCTGGAGATGTTGCTCAAGTGGGTCGCCTACGGCTTCGTCAAGTACTTCACCAACGCCTGGTGCTGGCTCGACTTCTTCATCGTCGACGTAAGAGAAACATCTCACTTTGGATGTTGTCCTGAAGCTGTGGAGCAGTACAGACGCTCCGTCGAATTCTGAAAGATGACTTGAATTCAGGTTTTTCAGGTTTAACACTCACAGGATTATGAAACTGCTAGTACTCCCAGAGCCGTCATTTTGACTGCTCTCATTCAAAATGCCATAATGCCATGAAATAGTTGTTTAGACCATTATGTGTTTTTCTTCTTCTAAAACGGATTAATGCAACTTGAAATACAGCAACATCTGTTTGTTGTTTAAGGCTACAAATGCTGCAAGTACTGTATGTTGCTATGGTAACAAGCACTCTTCTCTTGTGGAAAATCAAGCTGACTCAGCTCAGAACCAGCACCTTGGAGAAAAGGGTTTCCAAAACTAAAAGCCGTCAAACTGACTGCTCTGGGAGTTCTAGAGTTAAACAGTTTGTAGTGAGAAGGATCAGAAGTGAACCAATATATTCTATTGACCAGGGGTTTCCAAACTGAGACAAATTATCTGTCTTTCACAGTGTCATCCAGCCAACTTCAGCTCAGTGCAGTCGTTAACTTTATTTGTATATAACTGGGCGTCACGTTGCTGAGTGGTCAACACTCTCGCTTCTCAGCAGGAAGGTCCTGGGTTCAAATGCCAGAACAGGAGCTTTCTGAGTAGAGTTTGCAGGTTCTACCCGTGTCTGCTGCGTAGGTTTCCTCCGGGGTGCTCCGGTTTCCCCTACACCTAAAAACATATACTATTCGTACAGTCCTCCAGCTCTGGTGCTGAACTGGAGATGAGCACGAGATGCTAGTTAAATGGATTTTATTACAACCATTTTTGTGGTTTGAAAGTTACATACCCCAGCTTTAAGGGCACACTGTTCTCCAGAAATGATGCATTTACAGAACACTCTGAATTCAAGTCATTTTGATGCTCAGATGATTCTTATTGTTGTTTTATAACTTCTATGATTCCAATTTGTTTGTTTATACAAGTTTGTATTGTTCTTCACTAAAAACGGTCAAATATATGTTTATGTAAAGAATGAATTAAGTTGTTTGTTTAAAACCTGAATCTGTTACAACAACAAGATGAAGTAAAGTGCATATAACAGGTTTGATCGATTATAACTGAACTCAACTTTTTCTAACTGTTGATTCATTATGATTATATCCAAACTAAAAGACACATTTTTTTGGATAAACGAGCGTTTTTGTCATAAAATGTAAGACAAAAAAACCTTTGAATTGGGATAATTCTGGATGAACTAAAATTAAGTTTAAACCAAACTGAAGCTGTTTCTAAGATTATTCATTCAGATTAATTCATGCAGCAACCCTCCTCCTCCCCATCACCGCCTCGTCGCCCAGACCTGCTTTTCCACCCTTCTTCGAGCTCCCACCACCAGGGTCTAGGCCCCGGGGGATTTCATCTCATAATCTATTCTTCCATTTCCCACAAAATCTTAACCACATTTCTCATACAGTAGCGTTAAATGTTATATTGTCTTTCCATCAATCAAAGCATTAGCTATATCAGATAGTAGCCTGTATTATGCACTTTACATCATAGAAACAAACCGGTAGAGCTACATAAGAGTTGATAAACACAGACCTAAAGACATTAAGAGTTGACTGAAGCTGTTGTACCTGCTGTTGACATGTTCTCTGACCTGTTTCCTCTCTTCCAGCCTGTTTGAGTATAATGTTGTCTTAAGTAGCGGTGTTTACGGGCCGTCCGGGGCTGCAGAGGGGTAAGGCTCCATGTGTGTGGGTTCCTTTCACAGGATATTGCCTTTCTGACCCGACAGTGTGTCCAAACCTTCTGCCTTCTTCCCTCTTGAAGCTTTGGTGTGGACCGTGTTGTGTATCGTGAACCATGTTGAATATCGTGCGTGTTTCTGTGGGTTTAGTGTGTTGTGAAGACATCTCCTCTTTTCCCCTTCGTCTGACTCTCTCTTCACTGTGTCAACCACAAGTTTTTTTCCAGGTGTGCTCACTGTGCTGTTAAGCTGGTTGTCACCTACACTGGCTTGCCAAACTAAACCAAACGATCACAAAAGGACAAATCTGGGCCTATTTTGAGCTAACGTAGAGGATAAGATGGCGCCCCCTGGATGTGATGTGTGTGTAGTGTGACTGTAGGTTCTAACTGTGGCTCCTCTCTCCTCTGCCCCTCCCCTCTGTCCCATGTGTAGGTGTCTATAGTCAGCCTTATAGCTAATGCACTGGGCTACTCCGATCTAGGCCCGATTAAGTCCCTCAGGACACTGAGGGCCTTGAGGCCCCTCAGAGCCCTTTCACGTTTTGAAGGGATGAGGGTAAGACCCAAGACACCAGGCTTCTGCATGTCCAACCAATACACGCATGCTGGAGCCCACCAGAGACAAAACAAGTACTTCAAATGGCTCCAAGAACAAATCTGGCCTTTTCTCAGTACAAAGCTTTTGCATGAATGCAGATCATCTCAGATGTTCTTAAAGCATCTGATTTGATTCACCATTTCATTTCATTTATTTTACAGAAAACAAAATAAACTATTTGCAATCAAAAGTAATGTATCCTCAAACCAATGGTCCGCGTTTTACAATGACCTCACAGAAGTGGTGAAGTATGAATTCAATGATCAGAAATGCCTTTACATGTGTCGCACAGCAATCCAAGGGTCATTTGAGAATGAACAAAAGAGGAAATTGATGTTGAAATCCAAATCTGCTGAAGAGGTGCATCTCTGTTGCATGTAATGACCCCTGAGTGGCTGTGCCTTTTCCTCCAGAGCAAAACTCAAGCATGTTCACTGTCTGCGCTGGTGCAGTCTCTGCTTGTTGCTGGGAAGAAAAACTCCTGACTGACTTCTGTTATCTGACCTACCACAGTTTGGCTTTGGCATTGTCACACTGGAAGATCTACAAACTTCTGGTTGCATACCCCTCCCCTCCCCGCCATCCCTGCTCACACCCTGAAACCTCATTCCACTTTGATTTCCCATTTTGCAACTGTTTTATATGTGTTTTCTAAATCTTATTCAAATTAACAGTTACTTATAATACTGCTATCTATGAGCATGCAACCTGTCTGGAAATGCACATTCAGAGTCCCCTGACCTAAAACCACCTCATCCGACCGATGACCAAACGATACAAGCATGTCTTCTGTCTCAAAGGTCTATGTTCCAGGGGGCCAGACTTCAGCTAGAGCAGGGTTCAATCAGGGAGGATTTATATTTCATCAATAAGGAAGAATTAAGCTTATCTTTTGACCCTCTTGAAATACCACATTTTGCCACCTTTTGTCTCAGTGTTGGGGAGTGACTGGAGAACTCAATGCAACAAACCTACTTTAAAATGAAAGGATAAAAATTAGGGCTGTCCAAAATAGCGCGTTATTAACGCGTTAACGCAAATCAATATTAACGCCGTCATTTTTTTTATCGCGCGATTAAAAAAAATAATTTTTTTTTTTTTTTTTTTTTTTTTTTTTTTTACTTTTTATTGCAGACAAACACATATACAGAAAAAAAAATAGAAACAAAGAAAAGGACTAGTTCAGATACATTGTAGACAGAGATTACAAACAATATGTAGTTGGAGATACAGGGGGCCAAAGAAGAAACCCAGAAGGGCACATAGGAGGGGGGGGCATGAAGTGGGAGATGGGGGAAGGGGTTAATAAAAAAGGCAATACAAGCAAACAGTATACAGTCATAGATATACCGAAGGTAAACAGAAACAGCATAGAGTATTCACATGAACAAATTTACAAAATATTTACAGATTGTTTATCATCATCATAATGACACCATGATGTTTCTATACAGTCTATGGTCTATACCCACACATACACACACACACCCACACACACACATTGAAGGGGCTTTTTGTTACCAATTATTTATTTTGTCATCCATTTATTGATGATTTTGCATCAAATGTTAGTGTGTAATATAACACTACACCTTGTTTTCAATAAAAAAAAGCAATTGCACACAGCACGCAAATGTGTGACTAATTTGCGATTAATCGCGAGTTAACTATGAAATTCATGCGATTAATCGCGATTAAATATTTTAATCGTTGGACAGCACTAATAAAAATATATGTAAATTGGAAAGAAATAAGGAATGCAGTTGTGTGTATGTGTGTGTGTGTGTATATGTATTGCTGTATGCATATGTATTTTTTTTATATACCTGTGTGTGTATTGGGGTTGCCGTATATTTTTGCTCTTCTTTTTTTTTTTTTTTACTTTGTATTCTGTGTTTCTTTTGTTAAATGTTTATAATGATAATCATACAAATCAAAATAATACATTGTGCTTCTTGTCATACAATCTAAAATGACATTCCTCTGTCCTGGTGGTGACCTGCTTTTTGTGAAGTGGTCCGATATCTCCTTCTTGTGATATACAGTATTATTGCTCAGGATGGTTTTTAACATGGTCATACCTCATTTATGGATTATATTAGCACTTTAAAAACAATAGGTAGGAGTGGAACTAGATCCATGGAGTGGACCGAGAAGCGACTCAAGACAGTTTGGAAAAGTGTTTATCACAATCCGGATGGTGCAGTGTAGAGGCCGGGTCCAGAGCGGAGCTGAAGGCAAATGTAAGCAGAGACTGGGGCTGGAGCAGAAAACAAACAGGTAAGTAAATTATTCTCAAAAGTTACATCCAAAAAACAAGGTCGACTGGATTTACCATTGACGGAACTGACCACTGCTCAAGATGGAGGTTGAAGGCAGACCATCAGCAGGTGAGCAGTTCCAGACCATGAGACTCGCCTCTCCACGGTGATGACGTGTAACTGATCCCAGTGAAGTCGAATGCTTGTTTCCGATGTTAAAGGAAATGTGTGTAAATGTCTAGGAAAAGCAACAATATTTGAATAAACCTTACAAAAAGCAGACCGCCACCTGGACAGATGAGGAAAGCATCTGGAAGTTTGTGCGTGTGTGTATGTCTGTGCTTGTGTGTGTGTTTGTTTCACACTTTTCAATTTACATTTACGAATCCTGCGTTAAAAATTGTGCTGGAACTGAGGAAAAGTGTTTAGAAAGCGAGGGACTATAGGGACAAAGTTAGGTACACCAGCTTTAATGCAATACAAAATATACACCTCATTATTATGCAAATCAACATGGAATGATTCCAAGTGGTCAGAGTGAAAGACTCTGATTGGGCCATGGGACGGAATACATTACAAAACACTTTTATTCACTTTTCTTCCGTTTCTCCCTAACACAAAAAAAAGTACAACAGGTCTGAGTCTGGTAAAGATCACATAAGTCCAAAGAGCATATAGTTTCACATTGTGGAGGAGCAGTCCCAGCTGTAAGAGTAGTAAGTAAGTAAGCTAGCTTTATTTATGCAGCGCCTTTCACAGACCACAGTAAAAATAGGTAAAAACAAGCTGAAAAAATTCTCTCCTGTCTTTTTGGTCTCACTCTGGTCTGTGGACTTTCTCTTGTTTCTATGTCTCTTTGGTCTGGTCTCCATTCTCTCTTTCTGATCTCTCTCTAGTCCCTCTCTGGCCTCTGGTCTCTCTCAGGTCTCTTTCTGGTCTCCATCAACTATGGCCAGTAGAAAGATCTTTCAGACATACAAAATAATACGGCAGCTTGCGGACTAATCACTTGCACATGATTGAAAAAAAGAATTTTAAAACATGAACGAAACATATTATTTTTGTTCAAATGCCCAAAAACATTATAGATGTTGGAAAAATAGTCCAATGGTCTCTCGTGTTTGAATTTATAGTCGGCAAAATGTGGTATTGATATTGATAGTGATTGATAGATAGATATAAAGATGGATGAGGTTTATTTTGTAGTATATTTTTTTTCAATTTTTTCTGCATGCTTAATATTAGTCACACATACAATCAATAAAATCAGTGAACATTTGTGTAGAAAATACTATTTGTTCAGCAAAATTCATTGTATTTCAAAGTTCAAATCAAATATATCAGTTCTATAAGTCTCAAACCAGGTCTTCTCCTTTGACATGAGCTTTTCTAAGTCGTTTTGGGACTGAGAGAATGTGCCTTTCTGTCTGTGTCACCTCTGAACACTACAAAAACATTCTGGATGAGTTTACGTGACTTCTAGTTACGGAAACGTTTTCTTGTATTGAGTAGATTTGACTTGACAAGCAGAACACTCCACCAAACGTACAAAGGTATTCTTTTCTCATTTCAAACAACATCAGATTTTCATTTCAAACTCTTGTTGTTTAAAGGCCAACTGTGAAGTGAAAGCAAAATGTTTAGTGTCTTGGTCTCTAAACAGCATCATGGAGGTCTCACAGAGCACTGTTCAATCCATTATTTGGAAATGGAAAAAGTATGGCACCACTGCAAACCTACCAAGACATGACCGTCCACCTAAACCAATAAGTCGAACGAGACAAGCAGCGATCAGAAATTATGTTTTTGGCAAAGATTAAAGTAGTGTTAGGTTCTGCAAAGATTTCCCAAGCTTCACGGAATATCGTACCAGAATAGTGAAAGCGTGTGGCATCACTGCAAATTAACCAAGACGCAGCTGTCTGCCCAAAATACCAAGCCAAGGAAAATAGCTATTATATAACATGGGTAAAAAGCTGGAAAAAAATTACTTTGCTTTTCGACATTCACATTTTGTTGGCAGGAAAGAAATACTTACAGGCTTAAATGACCATTCTAACCATTTACTCAACGGTAGACCATGATTGACGCATTGAGCACACTGTCGTAAAGAAAAAAAATCTTGCTTTGTTTCCGTTTTACTTCACAGTTTAAATGGAACGCGTATGGCACCACTGTAAACTTACCAAGACATGAGCGTCTACCTAAACCAAGCCCCGGCGATCCAAGATGGCGCCCTATTCAAATGAATGGTTGTGCTCAGTGGCGCTTTGTGACAGCATGGGGGCTGAAAAGATTAGCGGAAGTTGCCTGAAACTCGCATAGAACTTTGGGAAACTCGCAAAGATCTATGGGAAACTGGCCTGTATTTGGGCATCGTCTGGTCCTCCCGGTTCTGCGCAGTGGATGATCTCCCATAATGCGTTGCGTCTAACACGCGTGTGTGGGTCTCACACCGGGTCTCACGCACGTGCACAGAGGGGCTCGGCCGCGCTCTGACCAATCAGAGCAGTTCATCAGAGCGGGAGTTAGAGCGAGAGCCAGACGAGCAGAGTTTGTGGCACTAAAGTGTGGATTTAAACAAAACCGAAGGATTTAAGAAGAAAAAAAGTTCAGGATGACAAGGGACACTAAAATCCCCACAAAATCCGACCTTTATGAAAGCTGTAGGTTCTCTGTCAGCTGAGGTTGAGCTGTTTTAATATGCATTGAGTTCTATGGGGAAAATTTCTGGGTAGCCCACGTGAATTTAGTCTGGTCTAGTCTGCAGTACCGCGAGAATCCCCTGAGCACATGGGTTATTCAGCTACAAGCTAGTAATACCCTATCAAGGTTAATATAATAGATCCATGACCTAAACTAACAAGTCGAGGAAGGAAAGCACTGATCAGAAATTACATTTTTTATTACAAATTCTCAAATAAGATAAAAGCAGGGATAGACATCAAAAGCTTTGAGAATCTCGCAGCACAGTTCAAATAATAATTTGTAAATGGAAAGCACATAGCACCACTGCAAACATACCAAGACACGGCAAAAACTAACACGCCAAATAAAACAGCCATAACTCGGCAAAAGCTATGAAAAATCAACTTCTTGAATCAATATCTTGTTTTGTTGGTCGATTGTGTTTCTTGTCAAGTCAAATTTCAAATAAAGAGAATACGTTTGTAATGCAAGTCAGTTAGGCTCATCTCGATGTGGTTTTTTGCAGTGAACGTTCCATTGCATGTGTCCGTTCACCGCTGTTGTTCCTGCCCTTGTTCAGGTTGTGGTCAACGCCCTGGTGGGGGCCATTCCCTCCATCATGAACGTGCTGCTGGTGTGTCTCATCTTCTGGCTCATCTTCAGCATCATGGGAGTCAACCTGTTCGCCGGAAAATACTACTACTGCTTCAACGAGACCGCAGAGGAGTACTTCCTGCCGGACGATGTCAATAACAAGTCAGAGTGCCTGGCGCTGATCAGTCAGAACTACACAGAGGTCCGATGGAAGAACGTAAAAATCAACTTTGACAACGTGGGGTCCGGCTATCTGGCTCTGCTGCAAGTGGTGAGAGCCGTTTTACATCTTAGACCTTTTTAATAGTTTCAACAGATAATGGGTCAATACTTATACAGTCTATGGTCAATATGTACATAAAGGTGAAACTCTGACAGATAGAAGATCCTTCAAAAGTCTATTTACTTACTATTTACAATAATTGTAACTGAAACTAGTATATGGCTGATTGGTAACACGCAAGATGACATACTTATTTCACCACTGTAAAACAAATAAAGGATATCTTAATCTTAATCAAGCTTTAATATGTTATAATATAAACATTTGTCGAAACTTCTCATCAAATCTCATCAAAATTATAATGATTCTGCTTTGGTTTTATACAGGCATTTTTAGACACTCAAAGGAGCCTCACAAGTCCTTATTCATTCACTTTATACACAGTGGTGGTAAACTACTACTGTAGCCACACGGGCCAGGGACACACTAGCAGATGTAAGGCAACTAGTATGTGTCATCAGCCCCTCCACCAATCATTCACTCATACACCAGACTCATTCTAGTCAATGTGGGTGCAGTGTCTTGCTTAAGGACACAACAGCCGTTTGGCACTTTACAGCCGCCCCACTGTGGCATCTTCTCAGAGGTCTCCCATCACAGTACTAACCAGGCCCTGCCCTGCTTAGCATCACAGTTCTGGGATCTGGGTTTCACCTGCAGGTGGTGCCACACAATTATCACAGCCTTGGCATATGTCACTTAAGTTAAAATACAGAAATAAATGAACTTTTGAACAATTATGTAATTTTCTGAGTTTCACCTGTTTGTCTTTTCTGACCACAAGTTTAAAGGGGATGTATTTTATTTTAAGATACAATGGCCATGATTTCCACAATATTCATATTTATGGTTTTCAAGCAGGTTATCTGATCAGAGAGCAAGATGGCTCTACTATCAAGATCATATTGACAAGTCCGATATAGATATTCTGTTTACCTTGTTGTCCATCCATCCATCCATTTTCTACCCCTTATTCCATTTCTGGGTCGGGGGGTGGTGGCAGTCAGAGATGCCACCCAAGTCACATAGCACCAGCCCCTTGTTGTCTTGCTTCACTATTCACACATGTTTTCGTGATTGTGGCATAAAAGTCTGTACATGGTGCTAACTTCAACTCTTACAAATGTGACTCAACACGAACAACATGTGATTTTGACGTATCTAATGTCCTTTGGCTTGTTTCAATGCATTAAAGCTGTCTCTTTCTCCTCAGGCCACATTCAAAGGGTGGATGGACATCATGTATGCTGCCATAGACTCCCGAAGAGTAAATAAACTCACATTTATATGAATACATTTCTGTAACATAATTCTTTTTATCCTTAAATGACAGTAGTAAGATTTGAGTGTGTTTGAAGAGTTATTGTGTGACACCAGGTGGGGGACCAGCCGGCGTACGAGGACAACTTGTACATGTACATCTACTTTGTCATCTTCATCATCTTCGGCTCCTTCTTCACCCTGAACCTCTTCATTGGTGTCATCATCGACAACTTCAACCAGCAGAAGAAAAAGATAAGACATTTTTACAGCACTAAATTCACACCACAACATACACCATCAACGTTTGGATCTATTTGATACATGTACACAGAGGTTTGTGAACAGTTTCTCAGTGTTGTGATTGTAACCAGGTTGTTTTGTGCCTTTACTTTGGAGGTCAGGACATCTTCATGACGGAAGAGCAGAAGAAATACTACAACGCCATGAAAAAACTCGGCTCCAAAAAACCACAAAAGCCCATTCCGAGACCACAGGTGCCATTTTCATTTGTATATACTGTTGTACTTAATGAATGAACAGGAGAAGTTTTCGTGATCTTGTCCTTTGAGTTTTTGGTCAGTTTATGTAAGTTTATGAATGAAGCTGAGGCTCACAGAGATTCACAGAACAATTATCATTTGGCAAAACAAAACTCTCTTTAATGTAACAATAGTAAGTCTGTTTTTTCTTCTTTTCCGTAGAACCAATGCCAGGGGATGGTGTTTGACTTTGTGACGCAGCAGGTCTTCGACATCTCCATCATGATCATGATCTGTCTGAACATGGTGACGATGATGGTGGAAACAGACGATCAGTCGGAGGAGACGGAGAATGTGTTGTACTGGGTGAACTTCGTCTTCATCGTGGTCTTCACTGGAGAGTTTCTGCTCAAGCTGTTTGCGCTCAGACATTATTACTTCACCAACGGCTGGAACATATTCGACGTGGTGGTGGTCATCCTCTCCATTGTGGGTAAGAACTGGTAACCGGGCTCATGCTTCTGGAAGGGCAAAACCAGGAAAAGGTGGGCCCTTCAATTCAAACAATGTTGCTGATTGGGAAAAGAATCATAAAGGAAATGGGATAACAATCAAACTTATTTTGTGCCAATACAAAGATATAGTAAGAACTCACAACTCATTTGTTCTTGAATTACTTAAATTTTTTGTTTAAAAATTATGTATTATGGACATAAACAATGTGTTGATAGTAATAATAATAATACATTTTCTTTATATGATGCACTCAAAGTCGCCTTACAAAAGAGTTAAAAGCAAAAGCATACAGTAAATAATAACGAGAATGTATGGTCACAGTGAAGAGGTCAGTCTGAATAGAAACGTGTTGCGGAGGTCAGGGTGTTCTGGAGCTGTGGAGCATGGTGACAAGGCAGGAAGGAGGCACCAGAAGCTGGAGGCAGGAGGAGTGGAAGGAGGGCAAAGTGTCTAAGTACCACAATGGGGAAACGGATTTACAAAACTAGAAGTACCATATGTTTCAAGGTTGTTTTTGCAAGCAGCCGGATCGCACATTTTGATTGACAAATCTCTGCTGTTTTCAGGCATGTTCCTGGCAGATCTGATTGAGAAGTACTTTGTGTCTCCCACTCTGTTCCGTGTCATCCGATTGGCTCGTATCGGCCGAATCCTGCGTCTGATCAAAGGCGCCAAGGGCATTCGGACTCTGCTGTTTGCCCTGATGATGTCGCTTCCCGCTCTGTTCAACATCGGCCTGCTGCTCTTTCTGGTCATGTTTATTTTCTCTATCTTCGGAATGTCCAACTTCGGCTACGTCAAGCACGGAGCCGGAATTGACGACATGTACAACTTTGAGACTTTCGGCAACAGCATGATCATTTTGTTCATGATCACGACTTCCGCTGGTTGGGATGGACTCCTCTTGCCAATTCTGAACTATCCTCCCGACTGCGATCCGAAGTTGGAAAACGCTGGAACTCCCTCCACCGGAGACTGCGGCAACCCCTCTGTGGGAATCTTCTTCTTCGTCATGTACATCATCATATCCTTCTTGATCGTGGTCAACATGTACATCGCTATCATCCTGGAGAATTTCAGCGTGGCCACAGAGGAGAGTGCGGATCCGTTGAGCGAAGATGATTTCGAGACGTTCTACGAGATCTGGGAGAAGTTTGATCCGGACGCGTCACAGTTCATCAGTTATTCCAAACTTGAGGACTTCGCTGACGCCTTGGAACACCCTCTACGCGTCCCCAAACCAAACACGATTGAGCTAATCGCCATGGACATGCCAATGGTGAGTGTAAAGATCATCAAGCTATAAGGGCTGGGAACCCTTTTTCTTTTGCTGTGTTATTTATTATCTTAAATTAACGGAAAGGTCTAAAATATATATCATATATATAATAGTTATTTAAGGAGAGTTACACTCAACAGTAGATTGTGCTCCCACTTAAAAAGAAGAGAGTGACAGGGTGGCAATAGCAATGCAGGTTTTTCAGTCCTAGTGCATTAGTGACTTAAAGTGACTTATTTTTCAGACAGGACTACCTTCAATCACACAGCTCTCAGCCCAATGTGTCAAGTAATGACTCAGAGGGCACTTTCTGACAAGTATGCAAAGGATAAGATGGAGACAGCACTACTTTTACAAGACACCTTCCTTTAGGGACAACAAGTTATGTACCCCAGCTGAAATTTAAATGAGACCTATTCTGAGCCTTAAATACCAACTATTGAAAGAAAGATTCTAAGACATTGTTTATTGTGATCCAAAGACACAGTGAACTGGTCAGTTATAACTTCACACTAACACAGTCCCCTTCTTGACATCCGTAGGTGAGTGGCGACCGCATCCACTGCCTCGATATCCTTTTTGCCTTCACTAAGCGAGTCCTGGGAGACAGCGGCGAGCTAGACATGCTTCGGCAGCAGATGGAGGAGCGATTCGTTGCGGCCAACCCTTCCAAAGTGTCTTACGAGCCCATCACCACCACTTTACGGCGAAAGCAAGAGGAAGTCTCCGCCAGGGTCATCCAGAGGGCTTACCGCTCGTATCTGGCCAGGCGTGGCTTCGTCTGCAAGCGCAAACCGGTCAAAAACAAGCCCGAAAACGAGGACAATCAAGAGAAGAAAGAGGGAACTCCGTCTACTGCCTCCCTGCCTTCTTACGACAGCGTGACCAAACCGGGAAAACAGGAAGACAACGCGGAGGACAAGGGCGGGCGCAAGGAAAAAGGCCGAAACCAAAAAGACATCAGGGAATCAAAATGCTAAAGGGATCCTCCACGACTGACGCTTGTAATAACATTGGAAATTATAACTATATTAACTCCAAGCAACGAGGAAACTCACTCACACAGATGTACAGATTTAATTTGCAAGTCCGAGAAAATAATATTCAAGAAATTTTGTTTACGATTCTTGTATTTATGCAAGGGAGAACGCGACTCGGAAACTTCTTCAGCATACTGTGTGGCATTTGAGGTTCCTTGACTATAAACTATTAGAGGGATATACCTACTCCATACACAGGATTATAGGAGGATCGCTCACTCGCCACAAACATGAATGAGTTTGACGGGAGAAAAAAACGATGTATTTATTGTTCGAATGCGAGTAATGGATTCCTATGGAAGACGATGGCATGTGTGGGGACTACGGCCTCTTCTCGATACAAGCCCAACGCAAGAGGCACGTTTGAATGGAAGGACAAAGGGTCGGTGAGCGGAAGATGCAATCGAGAGTGCAGACTTTCTGAGAGGTTTTTTTTGTTTTCGTAGTGCTAGAAGTTGTTAATTTATGCAGCAAAATGCAATGAAAAAAAAAGACTTCAACTCTGCCCATGTCACGTTACTGTTACAGCCATCCGATCTTTGTTACACCCACATCCAAGAGCTTTTTTACATGGGCTTTTCACACCAATTGGTTTAAAAGGGTCTGTTTTATTATTATTAATGTTGATAATAATATTATAGGGGGTCAACTCGGGCCAAGGGCTTAAACCTAACATTTATTCCGAACGATTTCCAAACATAATGTGCTTGTTCAAATGCATAGAAATGACTTGCATGATGGCATGTTTTTGATCAAACGAGAAAAAAAAGATAAAAAACTTGCATGAATTATCATAGTCCACAACAAGACACTAATACTCGAGATCGGGCAAAAGTTTGAGAAATGTTTTTGACGAAGCGTTCAAAGTGGGTCAGTAACACAAAACTATTTTTGTTTCATTTTATTAACACATTTCAAATAATGTATGCTACAAATGTTGACGTAAGAATGAGCCGTGGAGTAATGGGTAGGAATTTACACACTTTTTTGCTGCTTTGAAAGAAATATAATTGTTTTTTTGTTTATTATTGTACGCACCAATGTAATGTCAATACCATTTTTGCCTTTCGTTGCTTATAAGGGGCATTTTAGACAGGCTTTGTCCAGCAGGCTAACTCCCATTATTTCTGTAAGACTTTCGGCGGGAAAACAAAAAGGGCTGCAATACAATGAATTTAATTGTAATTCGGAGTGAACCTTCTTTTACTTTTGGGAATGTACTTTGAGAAGAAAGTTTAGGGGGAAACAGATGCGGAGAAGCCAAAGACATCTGCCTATTTTTGGGGTTTTGGCCCGTTCATGCAAGATACAGAAAGGACCCTATGATAGATATGTATGCAATGCTTGAAAATCACCATCCCTTTTTCTCAGGAGATAACAATAGATGTACTATTAAGAAGCTTTGCAACAATGCAAGTGAATGTGAAGGGGAGGTTTCATATATTTTGTGTTTTGTGTCACAGTGTTGATAGAATAGTGGCGACCGGAGCGTCCTGGGGCCGTTTTTCCTGAGTAGAGAATAGGGCTAGAAACATCTCAGCGACAAAGCAGAATTTATGATATCAGATAGAGGGATGTTTAGTTCACACAAATGTAGAAGAAAGCACTTTGGAGGTGGAACCGGCCTCTGAAATGGCTCAATCGCCCGAGTTTTTGCGATGTCATTTTCGTCTGAGTTGTACCCAAGTTTCGCTGCATGAGAAAACTGCGCGGGAGCAGATCAAACCAAATCAAATTCACAACACCACAGAGCCACAATTTATGGGATGTTAAACATTCGCCCAACACTGGAAGCAAAACAAAGTCGGGAGAATGGACTTTTCAGAAGATATAAATAATGTAATATATGATTTTGTTTTAACGGCATGAGCGTCTTTTGTAAATACAGATCACTTAAAGCTATTATCTAACACTGAATATGATTAGCAGTAGGATGTATTCAGCAGGCTCTTGTCTGTAACAGGCAGGCATCTGATTGCAGGTAAGAGGGTCACTTTTCATAAAAACGGGGCGCAAGCAAAAAAGTTGTATTCAAATCAATTTGTCAAGGCGTACGTTAACATGCGCTCGAGTATCCCAGCTGTCGATGGTGTCTCCTGGTTCTTTGTGTGGCCACGTAAACGCAGTATTCTGATTTCAGTACCAAGGTGAGACAGAATTGTGGTTATGAGAAATATGTTCAGTTTTCTGAGACGATATCTGGGTGTGTTAGCGGAACAGGACATTAGCTATAGAGGCTAAAGAGAAAATATGACAACAACAATCAAGGTTTGAACTGTTGCATATGTTGGATTCATGAACAGTCAAAAATCTGAATGAGATGGTTGTTTATTTTAGAAGATTACCAGTCAGAACCTGGGAAACTGCAACGCATCACCAAAAACTTAATTTTTCTGATACCCTTTCGACTGTTCTAGCCTAGTCTTCCTCAGATTGGTCACGCATTTTGTCAATTGATTTACACACGTTTGAGTGCTGTCGTTTTACCAATAGAGGCAGGACAGGGCCATCTGCAGTTGTTCTGGAGGTGTGTGAGAGTTAGAAGGCCCCCTTGTCCCGGTTTAGAGTTCTTAATGTCAGAACACCAAACCAAACCTTATTGGACCAACTGGAAGACACAATTGACAGGGCCACAGTTGCTTAACATCCAGGATTGCTTGATTGCGCATGTGTTTGGGGAGAGATTTCTGTTTCTCTCAGTGGTTTTAAATGGATAACCGGGATATTGGGGCGCACGTAAACAGGCTCATGGATAAGCCAACTGCACACGTGGGGTGGGTCCGGTCCGTACGTCGACTGCATGGAGTTGTACTGGCTGCTTGCTGAGATTGTGAAGCCTGCCTCGGTGAAGGGAATTGCACTACCAGCATACACTTTTGTACAACAATGTCTTGCCCCTGGTTCAGATGTATCACGACAGTCCTGAAGTCTTTCAAAAGCTCCCCTTTCCCCCGCACATCGCTGCAGTCTAGTTTTTAATGTGACAAATTCATGGTTTCACTGTTTGTTTAAGGTGCAATTTGACTTTTCGGCACGTGCCTTTAGCTCCAGTTCTGTCTGAAAGGGTCAAACACGGAAAAGGGAAGTAAGGAGTAAAGTGTCAGGGTTCGTATAGTCATAAAAATTCTGGAAAAAGTCATGGGAAATTACAACAGGCTCTGTGCACAAACGCAGACGAGCTAGCTCAGGGTTAGCTCACTGTTAGCGCTGTGTTAGCATCAGTGCTTCTGCTCCACATGCATCAAAATTGTGTTTTTGCATTGAAATGTAAAAACTAAAATATTACAGAAAATTTTTAGTGGCTATTAAAATAACACCTCATAATGTTATTGTGAGAAAAAAAACTTGACAAGTGATTGTGTTTCCTAACCCAAGACCTGATTAGCATATTTTTCTTAGCATAAGTCTGAACCCTAACCTAAAGAATAAATATGCTAGCATAACCACCAATACAATGTAAAAGGAGATGTTTGTGTCACAATACTGTTACTTTTGAATAATATCAAAATAAAGCCATCAACCAACAGTATGTACCCATCTAAATATATTCACTTTTAACATTATATTTGGTTCATTAACTAACAAAGGCACAGGATGCAACAAGGCTAAGCTAACCGTCATTGTGCACAGGCGGCATTTCACGGCCATGGAAAAGTTTTAGACTTGTATTAGTTTAGAGGAAGTAATGTACATTTTCCAACTGATAATTTGTAACAGACCTCCTTTGGCATTTTTGTTAGAATGTTCTGGCACACTCGAGTATGCTAACACCACATTTGAAACAATATTTATTCAAACTGAATGAGCATAAATTGAACTCCACTGGTTATTGCCACGTTTTAAACCTGTAAAATTATAAAAAATGTGTACGAACTCTGAGGTGTGGGCTATACAAGCGTAAAAAGGAGCTTTCTCTGTGTCTATAGTAACAGCGCGGCTTCATTCCTTTGGGTTCTTATGTCACAATAGGTAAATACGGCCATTTTTGTTGCATGGATGAGAGAAATGACCTGTTTTTCAATGGTTCTGTTTGTTTTAATTTGCCGTTCACTGAAATGTCCTTGTCTTTCTGTTGCCACTGCAGTCAGGGAGAGCAACATTACATGAATCAGAGGAATGTTTTCTTTTGAGCACGAAGCTATTTCCAACAATAAAGCAGCCTTCCAGTTACGCCTTGTGTCGTCCTTTTGTCGCATTCTGTGTACGAGTCGTAGGAAACCGAAGATAATGACAAACCCGCGTCATAAATTGTACCTCAATGGCTTGAGGTATTGGCAAACCTCCTTTGCAAATTTTGAATATTTTTTGTGTGTTACTAAAATGGCCACAGTTTCCACCCATTTGGCAACGTAACTCAAACACAGTTTCAACATTAGAATGGCGTTTCCTGTGCAATTAAAAGTGGAACAAAACGGACAATTATTTCTATCATTGAAATGAGTTGGAGTGGTATATTTTCGACCTTTATTTCAAAGGGAAAATCCCACTGAGATTTCAGAATGTCTTTTTCAGGGGAGTCCTGGCTCCAGAAAGAGGGGGGCTTTTATGCATGTTTTTAGTGGGAGAGGAAACAAAGGCAGACACAGGGAGAACATGCAAACTCCACTCAGAAAGGCCCTGTTTGAAGGTGGAATCAAACACACAATTTCTTGCTGTGAGTGCTAATCTCCCAACTACCGTCGCATCTCGACCACACAAAACCTCATTTTGTTACCGGAAATCAATCATCTAATGTCAATAGTTGAGATTTGTTGTGAGATCCTTCTTTCTGCACTCACTTGTGCACAGGGCAAAATATGTCATTCTAGGACAGGAATTAACAAATATATTTCACTCTAACAGAAAAATATGGTATGTCTTTCTTAAGCCCACAACTAACTGTTTTTTCCGCGATTATTTTGGTCAATAATAATAATAATACCTTTATTTATATTCCACTT